AAAAAGGATCGTCCCTTTCTACCATAGTTAAGAAAAATAGTACGAAAGATTGAGACCGATCCTGATTAGCTTGTTAGCCCTGATACCGCAGCAGTTGATACCCATATCTGTTGAGGCCGGGCAGAAGGCAGTAGGAGGTAGCAGATAGTACTGTTCCCAGACTGCCACTGCACGATTGAATAACGAAGGCTCCCAGCTCCTGAGGAGCTGGCCCAAAGGGTCCAGCAGAGAGCTCTGCTGGCCCTCCTGTCTGACTGACAGGGCCAAGTCCTTGGTTGGGTGCCTACTGGAGGTGTTGGAATACTCCTGAGGCACGACAAGGCTCCCTGAACTGCCTGACTACCGCTGTCCCTGAGGAAGGGTTTCAGTGAGGTCCAGTCCACTACTTGGGTATTGGAACTGATCCTTCTAGAAACTTATTGGACATGATTGCGGGGCAAGAAGGCCGCTCCACTGCGAGCTTGCCACCGCTAGACACGGCCTGTGGCAACGCCACAATATTTGTTGCATATGAAGAAAAAGAGAACTATGGCAGCAACCAGCGACGCTGGTGCCTACAAGTCCGGCAAAGCTGATGAACCACGCATCCGATTGCCTACCTTTGGTCAAAGAACTGACCAACCATGCAAGTCCCTCCACTTGTGAGATCCCCGTCTCACATTGTGTTCCACTAGCAGCCGATGCTGAGTGGCCCATGAATGTTTCGTTCATGGGGAGAGTTTGTAGATAGTTAGTTAGTAACTAGAGTCGTACCTCGTGGCTTACCCATGAGAGCGGATCCATGCGCACTCGTGGGGAGCGATAAAGTCTAGGAGCGAGAGCTCTGGATCCCGTCAGAGATAGCTCCAACAGCTATGCTGGCCTACAGCTCCAGCACCCACAGCTGGCTTATCTCCAGCCAAAGCAGCAAGAAAGGATCGTCCTTTCTGTCATAGTTAAGAAAATAGTACGAAAGATTTTTAAAAAAAGACCGATCCTGATTAGCTTGTAGCCCCTTTGATACCGCAGCAGTTGATTCCTATCCTGTTGAGGCTGGGCAGAAGCAGTAGGAGGTAGCAGATAGCACTGTTCCCAGACTGCCACTGCACGATTGAATAACGAAGGCCCCCAGCTCCTGAGGTGAGCTGGCCCAAAGGGCCCAGTAGAGAGCTCTGCTGGCCCTCCTGTCTGACTGACAGGGCCAAGTCCTTGGTTTGGTGCCTACTGGAGGTGTTGAACACTCCTGAGGCACGACGAGGCTCCCTGAACTGCCTGACTACTGCTGTACCTGAGGAAGGGTTTCAGCGAGGTCCAGTCCACTACTTGAGTACTGGAACAAGAATCTATTGAGTGTGTTTGGTACTGTTGCCACTGTCGTCGATGTAACTATACGGTAGCTGGCTGCAATAGCTGGATTGACAATATTTGGTGAGCATGTATAGGTCAAGGATCCAAGTAGGAGGAACAGGAGACGAACGCTGAAAAAACCGAATTTCCTGTTTCCTATTTCCTATTCCGGTGAAGCCAAAATATAGGGATCGAAATAGGCATAAGCCAACCAAACTGGCAATTGAAGGTTCAACTGAATTTAGAGGTAGGAATAAATCAATATTGTTTAAGATTAGTGCACTCAGCACAAAAGCATGTTAAGCCAGCAAGAGCTGTAAAGACTGGAGTTACAAATGGAATGACAGATGTAAAATTATGGGTTTGCCGGCGTCGCCAAGGCTATCTTGAAAGAAAGGTGCAATCTCAAAAATGATCCTCCTTCTTCTATTTGTCTTTCTGCCGAGGTATGGCAGCTCCCGCTGACTTATTTATTTTATAGGGAGACTTTTTGCTTCAGGATCTTCCGACGGTTTTCACTCAGGCTTTAAAACAAAAATTGAGGACCGTTTGAAACATGCCCTTAAATCTTAAACATGCCCTTAAACATGCCCTTAAAACATGCCCTAATGCCTCGAAATATGCCCTTAAGCCTTCATTGAAACGTCATGGAACATGCCCTTATCACGAATGAACATGCCCTTAACGATGTATCCTAAGGTCTGGCCGTGGTCAGGCTTTTTTCGCTCGACAACACGAAAAATCGAGCTAAAGCTGCTGCTGCACGACTTCAAAGAGTGTTTGCTATGCCTGAGCAGACACCTTCTGCTTCTGGGTACTCTCTCTTTTATATCTCTGAGTGGCAAAGAGCCCTTGCCTGCCACCTTTGGGGCGCTGTAGCCTTAGAGATAACAGAATCAGCAAATAAGAGGCAAAATCGACGATACGGCCGTATAAAGACTTTCTGAGCACCTTTGAGTGGCAGATTAAGTCTCTTCCTCTTCTCTACTATTTTCTGAACAAGTTTGTTTATGGTAGCTATTGGCAAAAAGACCTAGAAGAGGTGCGAGAAGCACCATCTTGATAGCAGCTTTTGCTCGATTTTTCGTGTTGTTGAGCGATGCACGCCGGTCGATAGGATACATCGTTAAAACATGCCCCTAAATCTGAAACATGCCTTTAAACGTGCCTTTAAACAAACAGACCCTTAAAAACATGCCCTTAGAATGAGAACCAGTTGTGGCCGTTTTAAGGCCTGAGTGAAAACCGTCGAACGGTCCAGAGATACATCATATCTAGGGAGCTAAGTTAGACATGGCACGTGATTTCTACGCATGTGGTCCGGTTTGTGTGCATGACTAAGGGAGTTTTGGACACGAAGTTCTACTAGCTAGTCACGAGCAAAATAGTATTACCTACCACCACACTATGGCAGAATCAAGTACCTTCTATGGTGATGCTTGTGACGATCTCCTTGCTTCATTCTTGTCTAGATGGCTGTAGGCATCAAAGGCCAGGTAGTTGAAGAAGGCTCCGATGAGGTTAAAGCTCCACCATTTCTGATGGTCGAAGTCGCATTGGATGCCGTCCAATCCATTGTAGGGAATCTGCTCAACTTCGGTGATTGGATCGTATCCTAGGCGGATGTTGTAGCCTTTAGAATCACAGTATCCCTTGAGGAAGAAGTTGAATTGATTGATGGCCGCCATCGAGGAGTGATGTGGTTGCAAGGTCCTCATCTTCGACTGCGGTGATAACTGAGAGGTTTAAATTTGGATCCATTGTTGCGAGGAATGATGACTTCCGGAGGCTTTGGAATTCTTCCATGTCGAATGAGAAGTTCATGCCGAGCAGAGTACTTCATTCATGCCAGGATCCTTCAGGATGCTTCAAGATGGTTGACACTCTGGTTATTCAACTGTTGTTCCTATTGTCGGAGTTGTGGCTCACCTTGCTCTCGATTATGTAATTAGGCCAGTTCAAATTACTTAGGGGTCTTCCAGTGGTGAGGTTGTGAAAACCCCGAGGGCACAATAGATCTGCGCTACTGCAGTAGTATGGAACCTAGAGCCAGCAGTGTACCGTTCGGTACTTTAAAAGATATATGAAGCATGTTAGCTATACCCCAAATATGCACACATCAGGGATGGCCAAAGAGGTGAATTGATTTGTTGTTCCCGAATTGGTATGCGTAGTTGTGTTTCCTAAGAAAACCCCAGGAAGATGCCGTAAATCATTAATCGGAACTAAAAAAAGCATTACCAATTTCTTAACTATTCCAACGGTGCGTAAAAACCATGTTGAATTACACACATATGTCTGTAACATATCAGTAAAAATCAGTAAGAAGTGTGTACAAGTGTGTAGGAGTCAGTAATTTCTGACCAGAAGTCAGTAAAATATCAGTAATCCGTGTGAAAAAACGGCATAGAGTCAGTAAGAATTGTTGAAACATGCACCATAGTCAGTAAGAGTCAGTAACGGTCAGTAAATGATGTGTAAAAGTGTGCACAAGGTCAGTAAACACTTTGGAATGTCAGTAATTACTGACATGTTCGGATTTGAAAGCATTACTGACATTTTCATCAGCACTTTGAGTCGTGATTACCACTTTACAACATCTTCCTGTTCTCTCTTGGAATTTTAGAAAACTCTCTTCCTCTCTTATGAGCGATTTTAGAGGTGTAAAACAAAAGATGGAAAACAGACTTATTTTATTACTGAGAGTCTTACAGTCGAGTCGGTATGACTACCTAGGTGACAGGTGCTGCCTATGTGGAGTTTGATGATTGGCAAGACTATACTTGGGCTGCCACAAATCAGGTTCACAATTCTGAATCGAATCAGATTGTTGGTAGCCCCATAACAGTTCTACTTTCACCTTTCCCATCGATCCGGGCAAATTGGATGGAAGTAGGTGTGTGCAGCAGGCCTCTCTCCAGAGCCACTGCCTTTGGCCTTTGCCTTTGCCTTGCCTAGAACCTCTCTCTCTCTCTCTGGCTAGTCTAGTTAGAGGTTCAGACGCAATTGTCTCGATTCATAGTATTGCAGCTCAGCTGGATTAAAATTTGATGAGTACGGTACGTATTCTCGTACCGGTACCGTACTAGTACTATTAAGCTACTAAAAATACAGGTACCGGTACCGTACTGTTGGGGTGTTGGGGTACATGCACGTAAGTGCTTGTTGACTTTACACTAAGGTTGTTAAAGCTTGACGTTGCCATGCCAATTATGATCATTCTTTGTCAACATCAATTAATTGTGCGAACAAATTGGCCCATGTTGGAACCGCGTGTACAGTAGAGATTTATGTACTAGTAGAGATGTATGGTACCGGTGCGGTTCGGTACCAGAAGTAGATTGACCATTCGGTAAGACTGTTGCACGCAGTTGGAGTTCTCACTCTTACCAGAAGTAGATTGACCATTCGGTAAGACTGCTGCACGCAGTTGGAATTCTCACTCATTCAGTGACCAGTGGTCGAGCAATAGAGAAGGTAGTAGTACCTTCAAGCTGGCATCACTTACTTAGTCATTTACCCCTCTACTAGTGTAATTCCATAGTAATATAGATATGTATATATCACTTTTTCGGCTCATGAAAGTGGACGGCTCTTCACATTGTTGTTATTCTTATTCAGAGTACACTGTACTGTTTTCCGACCTGCAATCTGCGGCCCCAAGCCATTGGTAATTGTTATCCAATGAGCACGACACAGCAGTCACATCACCACCCCGGTGGTGGCAAGGCAAAAAAAGCCGAGGCCTCGAGTGAGATTTTGGACCCCAGCCATGGGATTGTGAACTCGCAGAAAAAAGCCAATCCTACTACCGGTACTTGTAGGCAGACGGGTCAATCCCATCGTAGTAGTTCGCCACGAGACATTGTCCAACGGACAAGAGAAGTTCCGATCGCGAAGAAAAACGAGCTTGGTGGAGACCAGCAATTGAAAATGAAGAGTTCCCTGCCAAAGCGCCAGCAACTCCCATCTCTAAGACAAAGCAACGAATCATTCATCAGTGAAGAACTTTTGGAAACTATCATTGGAGCGCCCAGAGCAGCCAAGCCTTCGGAAAAAGAAAAGCTGCCGAAGACCACATTTGCTGGGGCGTTAAAGGAAAAGAAGTCTGGTACTATTGGCATGGAAAAGCAGGAGATGCAAACCATGAATACAGAAAAGATCAAAGTTTCATCGTCAAAGGCAATGCACTCCTCAAAATGGTGTTCCAAAAAAGTGCAAAAGAAGAATCTCAAGCCAAAGCGCCAGCAACACCCGTCACTAAGACAAAGCAACGAATCATTCATCAGTGAAGAACTTTTGGAAACTATCATTGGAGCACCCAGAGCAGCCAAGGCTCCACCAGAAAAATCTGACGGAAAATCTTCCAACAAGATGCTGTTGAAGACCTCCGATGGTGCGGATGAAGGACATACCGAAACTGAAACCAGTTGCATGTCAAGGTAAGAGCTACACTGCAAGCTGCAACTCGGGATATGGATGAACTTTCATTGGCTGAAGTAAGCCTCTCATCATCTGTCTCCTCTCTCCCCCGCGTTGCAGTCAAGAGCAGAATCGGGAGAGTCTTCCCGGTGCCTTCAAAGAATACCTGTCCGCTCCTACTGTGGCGGCAGGGGCTCATTTCTCAGAGTACTTTGGTTTGGACTGCTCGAAGTCCTTTACTCAATCCTTTACAGGTGATGCCCATGACAAAGGAAAGGGAGCGCCAACAGAATACATGATGCCTAGCGTACTTCCCTTTGATGCAGTCTTGGTGCCAAGTAGTTGTGATGAAAGCAGTGATAGTGGGAGGTCAAGCAGCGATGGAGATGGATGGATTCATGCTGTGTGCAATTCCTCTCATCACGGAGAATCGGGCTATGATGTGGAAAAGAACCGACCCCAGCTACCACCAATGCTTCCCGAGCATTCAGTGAGGACGCTGTTGAAAGACGAGGATGACGAAAATGGCATCACGAACAAGAGAACTCTTCTAGGAGTTGGCTTGTTGATGGTTGCCTTGATCGTTGTTCTTGCTGTATTGCTCCCGATCTTTGCCGCCTCGTCGTCATCATCGGGCGGGGCAAGCAACACTGCATGGCAAGCGCAGGACACTGAAAACAAAAGCATTTCTGGTTCCCCCATGACTTCACTGACAACACTGCAGAAAATTCGAATCGATGGGATCCTCAAATGCACTGTTGGATGGGAGGGGGAAGCTGGGGCCGCGACAACGTTTGAAGGACCCCTGACAAGGTTTGAAGAGCACTTGTGCCTTGCAATTGGCGCTGCCTTGAATGTCACCGTGGAATTTGTGCGCACATCTGGCAATGTCGACCGTTTTGCGGTTCTGGCCAACAAGACGGTGGATATTGCCTCGAGAGTGGTCACCCATACCATGCAGCGTCAATTTCAAGAACCGACATCTCAGAGAGCGTTCGCCTTTACAGTCCCCTACTTGTACTCGGGAATGCAAGCTGGCGGTGATCCTACCATGGTGTTCAACTGTGCCGAGAAAGACTTTCTCCATACTTCTGGCGGCTGTGAAGAACTGAGAGTGTGTGTCATGAAAAGTACATCGCACTTGAGAGTGTTGAAATCGATGCTACCGGTCCGAAGGATGCATCTGGTTCTAAATGAAGCTGAAATGTTTGAAGCTTTCATGGGCGGCCTTTGTAACGTCATGGCTCACGAAGGCCATATTCTTGCAGAAACGGTTGTTCGTCAGGCAGGATACACGGGTGACTATGTCATTGGCGATACTCTCTTTACGAAAGAGCCACTAGCATTGGTCATGCGCAACGATGATGCTGAGTTCTCTGATTTCGTCAACGCCATCCTCATGAGTCTCATGGTTGCGGAGCTCCACAGCACTACCGTGTTCCCCACGACCATTTCGAATGTCTATCCTTTGGAGGACGGGGCGTTGAACTATCAAGATGCCTTTCGAGCTGCCGTCGGAGTGGGTGGTAACTATGGGGAGCTATTTGATCGTATCTTGGCTCCATACCTTCAACGGCAAGTAGTCAACCAAGTCAGAACTTTTTCCAAAGATGTCGGAGATAACGGCACCGGGCTGCTTTATGCACACCCCTTCGGGTTGCTGGATGTCCCTCCGGACAACATCACTTATGGTCCAACCTTGACAACCGTACTGAGACGAGGGTATCTCCGATGTGGCGTTATTGCTCAAGAGCAACCCGGCCTTGCTTGGTGGGACGACGACGACAACAACACAGTATCTTCGTATGTTGGGATGGATACTGATTACTGCAAAGCCATGGCAGCAAGCCTCTTTCATGGTGCATATGATAGCTTGGAGTTTGTTCGGTTGACGAACATCAGTGATGGTGCTGTCCGACTTCACCGACAAGAGGTGGATGTAGTTGCAGGGGCTGCATGGACGTTGGAAACCGACGTTCGAGAACCAACAACAGGTATCGGCTATTCATTCTCACAGCCCTACTTTTTCAGCAGCAACGGTGAAGGCAATGATTCGGGTGCATTTTGTCTCATGACGCGACAAGATGACCATGAATGGGCATCTTTGGCGTATTGGACGGTTGCTGCTACTGTTTTTGCAGAAGAAGAAGGAATCACTTCAGCTGTCTCCATTGGGATGCCTGAAGTTTTGCTCTTTGGGGAACGATTCAAACGGTTGTTTCGAGATGTGATTCTCTCAGTGGGGAACTATGGAGAAATCTACGAGCGCAATATGGAGGCGTTCCTTCCAAGACAATCTCCAAACACACTGAACAAGAGTCCCAACCAGGGGCCCCAGCATTTCCCAGCACCTGGCTTTCTTTCGTTGTTGTGAATATAACACAAGCATAAGATTATCTAATGTACGGTATTTTTCAAAACCTTTTTCCCTCGCCTCCTTCCTGTGTTGCTACGATGTAGCTACTAGCTACTACTAGTATCTCTAGGAAGCAACCTGCAAGACAGTGCGTCGTGCCCGTGCCGCGAGAAGAAAGGTTCCCACGGTCGTCAACGTGGAAAACTTACAATGTCGAATCAACAAGCCAGTTCAAGCTGGGATAAATAAGCCGACCACCTTTGGTGGCAAATCGGCACCAGGGTGCGGAAATGGGACTTAAATCTTTAAAGCCACCTTTCAAGAACCAGTGGTATCGGCAACTCAATTGTAGAAGAGAAGAAAGGTGGCGAGATGGGAAGCGGAAGCTGCATAATCTTCTCTTGCGTTCCTGCATCGTGCCCTCCCCTTGCGCTCTGTCCACATCCTCATCTTAGCTCTCTCTAATCCATAGTAAACCCCTTATAAGAGATAATCTTCTGAGATGGGATCCAAGTCGACTCACTGGTCATGGTGGACAAGAGAAAGCAAAACCGATTATGGGACATCACAAGCAATGTCATGATACTATGTCACTGGAGATCTGTCTCATGAATCTGAGGACCGATTTAGATCCCATTGATCAAACGTCCTGCTCTTCAGAAAGTCTCCTTTTGCTACCCAACAAACTGCTGTTCTACTGCCACCATCGTAACAAACGGGAGATACATTACCTCCGCACCACACCCAAGTTGCCTTCCAGAACCTTGCTTTCGACTTGCTCTTATCCCCTGTTGTTGACTTGACCATGGAATTTCAATAGGCTGATCCTATGGTGTCTCATGATTCAGGGGCTTCGCTCGACAAGACGGCAGAGACTTCTGCGTGCAGTTCTGAGCCTGACTACCAAGAGGTTGGCTCAGCAACTCCCGATGGCAATGACGAAGATCAAGAAATAGAGAAGAAAGCAGAGGAAAAGGCCGAACCATCCTTGACATTCAAAGAGAAGGTGCAGCGACAAAGACGCCTGCTCTCGGTATCGTTCCGAGAAGATGTTGTCGTCCCACGCCGTCGACGTTCTCGCACGGCTGTGCCAGATGAAGCCGATGGAGGCGAACCATCGGAAGCAGTAGACCATGCCCGTAGAGCCATGACTGTTTCATTTCAAGAAGATGAAGTACCTGTCTTTGGTGATGGCAGAAGAAGGCGTCGTCGCCGAGAGCCATCCAAAACCAGACAGAGTTACTTTGGGAGCATTTCTTCCTCGTTCATCTCAGGCATCATGGACTCGCTGCGAGAGGAAGAAGTCAGATTGGATCCTGGCGAAATGGACGATCATGCCACCAGAGCGTCCGACGAATCTTCGCACGTCCCCTGGCTCGATGACACCATAATCACGTACAGCACTCGGACAAGGGCGGGGAGCATGCGCAAGAAATGTGGCAAGATCGTCAACCATCCCTGTACACAGCACGTGATCTTGTTCATGATCACAGCCAATGCAATTCTCATGGGAATCATGACGTTTGATTTTGTTGACGACAATCCGCAGGTGCACACCTATCTGGTGTATACGGATTACGTCTTCCTGGGACTATTCGCCATTGAGGTCATTCTTCAACTCATCTACCACGGACGGTCAACCTTTGGAAATCCATGGCTTTGCTTTGATGCGGTCATCCTGGCTTGCAGTTGGGTGCCATCGCTGCGGATATTCCGGTTTGCCCGTGTTATCAATCGACTGAGCATTCTAAAGAACCTGACAGAAGCGATTGCACTGGTTATGCCCCAAATGTTTTCCATTATGCTGTTCCTCCTCATCATCATTTACACCTACGCAGTGCTCTTTACAGAGCTGTTCCGACATGTGGTGTTTGAGGAAACTCAGTACTTTGAGAATCTATTCGCATCCATGTTCACCTGCTTTGAAATGACTACAATGGAATGGGCACACATTGCATGGGAACTCAAGGACCAAAACTACTCCTGGATTCCAATCACCTCCTTTGTCGTGATCTGTGGTATGATCTTTTTCAACCTGGTGCTCGCTGTGATTTGTAACGCGGTGGCAGCGTTGGGAATTGACTTGAGTGGTCGCAATCAGCGCGAATTGGAAACTTTGGCAGAGCTGCGAAAGAAAGTGCGCGACGCGGAAAAACGAGTCTATCGAGTAAAGGAATTGATGAGACAACTTATTCGAAACCAGAATCATTCACTTCACCTGCTGGAGGTGATGCTAGCACAGAAGCTCAACTCTGTCGAGACTTGGTCCAAACTCATGGGCGAGGTAGAGGATGAATCCATGTCCATGTCACAACGGCGTACCACTCGGACGAGCTTTATGAACAAGATATCATTTGATTACGCTTTTCAAGAGGAAACCATGCTCAACAAGACTCGAATCCTTGCTGGTCAAATCCTCGAGTCGGATCGTTTTGACATGTTCATTTTCATTGTCATCTGTTCCGACTGTACCATGATGGGGGTTGCGACGTTTGAATTCGTCAGCGGCAGCGATCGAATATCGGGGATCTTTGAAATCGTTAGCATGATCTTCCTCCTAATCTACACTTTGGAGGCCGGGCTGGGGTTTCTGCATAATGGGGTGAAGTATCTTTCGGATTGGTGGCATGTTTTCGACTTCTTCATTGTGGTTACATCATGGATATTCGATCTGTTGAACGGTTTTAAGACCTTTCGAGAGTTTCGAGCCGTCAGAATTGTCCGTGCCTTCCGCTTGATCACGGTGCTGCATCCTTTGCGTGATCTTGTCGTTGCAATCGGGACAGCTATCCCAAGGGTTTCCAGAATCATGCCGCTTCTACTCTTACTGTTCTACATATTCGCAGTGCTGTTTGTGGAGCTCTTCCGGGACGTTCAGTTCGACGATGGATTCAAATACTTTGATCGATTGGATTCTGCGCTGTTCACTTGCCTACAGATGATGACCATGGAGTGGGCAGAGCTCGCACGTGAAGCTACTGAAAAATCAAATCAACAATGGGCGCGCGGGTTAATCGTTTTGTTTGTGGTTCTCTCGGGGATGCTGTTCTTTGACTTGATCAAGGCGACGGTATGCGATTCGGTCGCCCTGATCAATGGACGATCTCGAAGACTCGCGCAAATTTCCATGTATCGCAAAAAGCTAGGAAAGCTCGGCAAAACGATTGACGGCATCTCGCTCAAAATGGTGCACACAATCAACTTCCAACAACACATCAATCGCATGCTGATGTACGACATCCAAACGATCAAGTCAGACGAACGCAAAAGGCAATCGAAGGGTAAGGGCCATAGTTGTGTACTGAGAAAGCGAGCGTCGAGGAAGAAGAAAGATTCCGTCGAGACTCCGAAATCAAAGGAACGACAGAATTCAATTGGAGGATGATGATTGATTCGTGCATTCCGCGAATGCTAGCTCCAACATAAGGATGGTCTTCATTTTGATTGTTGGCATGTGTTAATTCGGGGAAGAATCCCGTTGGACGAGGAGCTCGACTCGTCACCCGGCAACCCTGTCAAACGAAACATTCCAATCCTTGAATATCTTAGCCCACGTACCGGTAGCCGCGGGTATCGAAAGCTTGACCCTGACCGGTCGACAGCGAGCCCAGGTGATCCTCCCATTGACCTCTCGTGGTTGTACAACTGGTTAGAAAGTTATCCCGGTACCGGTACGGGGATATGTGCTTCGGGACGTCCGTTCAAGAATTCGTTGCTTGGTTCCTGGTATCGGTCGGGTATGACGATTGGCTTTCTTTCTGACGCACAGATCCCAGCATTGTCCATCCAATCCACAATACCGGATGTGTCCAAGCTCTCCTACCGTATGTAGCGCTGCCTCCGTCTCGATTTTGGTGCCTCTGGCTTAGGCTGCCTTCCTCTTCTAATGAAACGCCCCCCTACTAGGCAGCAAGCAACAAGCTCAACAGGCCGACACTGGATGGGGATGCTTACCACACGGCGCAAAATATAGCCAAAGTCTCTTTCAGGTCCTTCAGAGTCTCCGTCTGGAAGCTAACTCGGTCGATCGGAATGGGGGATACTCGTCCGTCAACCCTGGAGCTACTGGAGCTACTGGAGCTAAAACTGCATTTCAACTTCGCTTTTTAAAAACTATTAATAACGCCTGGCCCTCACTGGCTTCGGCAGATAATCTAACCCTCTCTTCTGCTGGACCCCACGCACTCGATATCAGATGCGGAGAGCTGTGTGGAGAGTCTCAGTCGAGTGCGACGGCTGTCTGAAGCAGGTCAAGGAATGCACACGTGCTGAGGTTGAAACATGGCCAGTCGTGCGAATTTCAAATAAGTCGATCTTTCGAGACTTCTTTCCGCGCAACCTCTGCATGGCTTGTTGCCATCCTACTTTTTCACCGGGCGGTGGCGTCAGCTGAGTGTACACCGCAGAGCACCAAGCAACCGTTCGGAAGCTTGATAACAGTATTAACCAAGCAGTGAACAATGAGGGCTCCAGATCCACCATCAATTGACTCGGCACCCCTGCCTCCAGAAGAAGTCTCAGAAGATGAAGATTTTGTAGATAACACCCGCCAAAGCGGCGTCAGCAGCAGGCATCCCTCGTGGCTTCCAGAAGACATGCATTATGTAAAGGGGGCCGCCGTTGGCCCGTCGGACTCTATGATTGACAGTGTACCGGGGGCAAGCCAACAATATCACATGAACAGCAACAATCAATCTACTACGTCGAGTCGCCCAAGCAACGCTATCGGTTACCCCTCCGCTTCATTCAACAACATCACATCTGGCCACAGCCAAAACGCAGCCTCTACTACTAGTAGCACGAACTTGCCCGACCAAGTAAATACCTCGAATACCAACCTGCCTGGTGAACAACAAACCGAAGAGGAATGCACCACAGGCAATGCTGCTACACGAACGACATATTCTACCTTAACACCTCCCACGGGCTTGGAGAGTGGTACCGGCGGATATGAGCCCATCTTGGCAAATGCTCATCTTGTTGTTGAGGACACTCCAACCGCAGAAGTCGTGGCTCCAACTTTGCTCCGTCAATGCATGCCAGACACAAGCACGATAGGTGGAAAAGTGCTGTGTTTTGGAATTATTTTCCTGGTAGTCGCGGCGGTGGTTGCTGTAGCTGCGATTGTCTGTGCGAGCGGAGCATGCAGCTCTAGCAGCGATGATGGCCCAGCAGGAACCAGTGATGCCAGTAGTGGTGCTTCCAATCAGCCAAATAGCCCATTCCCTGTTCAGCCGACAACTTCCAGTCTCCGACCAACTAACCTACCTGTTCCCACACAGGCGACCACCGGCTTTCCATCATCTTCCGCGACACCAACAATACTGGGCCCCATACAGGCAACTGTAGAGACTCAGGGTCCCGTAGAGCCACTGCCTCAAGTATCATCTGTTGACACACCAGACCCCACTGCAGAATCAATTGTGTCACCGATCCCAACCGAGACACCAGCGGTTGCGGGGACGCCTGATACACCCAGCCCCACTCAGAGACCAACTGTTATGACAACACCGGAAACGCCGAACCCTTCCCAGGCAACCACTCTGGAAACGCCAAATCCAACCCCTGAAACCGCTACAAAGGCTCCAACCCCCAACCCGACTACGCCAAATCCAACCCCAGCTCCAACCACAAAGGCACCAACTCCGCCCACACCAAATCCCACAGATCCACCAGCTTCACCAACAGCAGGGAGGCCATGTGAAATCCCCACAGAATGCGAAAGTGGTGTCTGCGCCAGACCGTTCATAAGCGTTGATAGTGTGCTTGCTATTGATGAATGCTGTGCCAGCTCTACCCCAGCCACAAGATATGACTTTGACAACTTCTGCAGTGGTTTGCCTACTGGAGCAGCATGTGGCAGCAATGGCATGTGTTCCTCTGGAGTGTGCATTCAGAACATCTGTTCTGCCGGACAACAATCAACAGGTGAAGACTGTGATGATGATGCAGATTGTACCGGTGGAGTCTGTGCGCTCCTCTTCACAACTCAGAACCTGGCAATCCAAAGAAGGGAATGTTGTGCAAGCTCAACATCACCAGCAAGGTACAACTTTGATAACTACTGCAGTGGGTTGTCAGTTGGCTCAGCCTGTGGAAGCAATGGGATGTGTTCCTCTGGAGTATGTATCTCCAATGTTTGCAACAATGCGAAAAAATCATCGGGGGAGTTATGATGATGACAGTGACTGCCTGGATGGTGTATGTGCAATTTTGTTCACAACAGAAAACACTGTCATCACGCCACCGGATGAGTGTTGCCCCAATTCTATAGTCGCCACGAGGTATGACTTTGACAACTATTGCAGTGGTTTACCCATTGGAACAGCTTGTGGCAGCAATGGAATGTGTGCCTCTGGAGTGTGTGTGGGAAATGTATGTCGCGAAGGCCAACAAGCTGCAGGGGAAGCATGCAATGATGATGCAGATTGTGTTGGTGGAGTCTGTGCCATTCTCTACAGCAATTTAAGCACTGTGGGCACTCCACCAGATGAATGCTGTCCCAATTCTATTGCTGCGACCAGGTTTGACTTTGACAACTATTGCAGTGGGTTACCTGTTGGAGCAGCTTGTGGTAGCAATGAAATGTGTGCATCTGGCGTTTGTATCTCCCATATTTGCAGAGGAAGCCAACAAGCTGCAGGGGAAACATGTGATGATGATTCAGATTGTGTTGGTGGAGTCTGTGCCATTCTCTACAGCAATGTAAGCACTGTGGGCACTCCACCAGTTCAATGCTGCCCCAATTCCATCGCTGCAACAAGGTTTGACTTTGACAACTATTGCAGTGGGTTACCTGTTGGAGCAGCTTGTGGTAGCAATGGAATGTGTGCATCTGGCGTTTGTATCTCCAGTATTTGCAGCGGAGGCCAACAAGCTGAAGGGGAAACATGTGATGACGATGCAGATTGCGTTGGTGATGTCTGTGCGTTACTTTACTCAACAACAGGGGAAGCAGACCAAAAAGAGTGCTGTACCGATGGTGTTGGGACAATCAGATATGATTTCAAGGACTACTGCAGTGGGCTGCCAGGCGGGGCACCCTGCGGCACTAATGGAATGTGCTCCTCTGGTTCTTGCATAATGAACTCATGCAGTGATGGCCAGCAACCTGCTGGGGAAGCATGTGATGATGATGATGACTGTCTAGGTGGAGCCTGTGGGATTATGTATGCAATCCAAAGCACTGAAACTCCGGCATATGAGTGCTGTCCAGACAACACTGTAACAGTTCGTTACAATTTTGAAAACTATTGCAATGGATTGCAAGTGGGGTCTGCCTGTGGAAGTGATGGAATGTGTTTCAGTGGTGTCTGTGGCATTGTGTACTCAAATAACAACCCAGATTCTGAGTTCTATGAATGCTGTGCTAGCTCCACTGATTCCACCAGGTTCAACTTTGAGGATTACTGCAGTGGCTTGCCTATGGGCGCTGCTTGTGGCAGTAATAGTATGTGCGCCTCTGGAGTGTGTGTTGGTAATATCTGCAGTGATGGCCAGGGACCTGCCGGGGAAGCATGCGATGGTGATGATGACTGTCTAGGTGGAGCCTGTGGGATTGTGTATGCAATCGAAAGCACTGAAAGCCCTGCATATGAGTGCTGTCCAGACGATACTGGAACAGTTCGTTACAGTTTTGAAAACTACTGCAATGGATTGCAAGTGGGGTCTGCATGTGGAAGTGATGGAATGTGTTTCAGTGGTGTCTGTGGCATTGTGTACTCAAATGACAACCCAGATTCTGAATTCTATGAATGCTGTGCCAGCTCCCTTGATTCCACCAGATTCAACTTTGAGGATTTCTGCAGCGGCTTGCCAATGGGTGCTGCTTGTGGCAGTAATGGTATGTGCACCTCTGGAGTATGTGTCGGTAATATCTGCGGTGATGGCCAACAACCTGCCGGGGAAGCATGTGATGATGACAATGACTGCCTGGGTGGAGCCTGTGGGATTGTGTATGCAATCGAAGGTACTGAAACTCCTGCGTATGAATGCTGTCCAGACAACACTGGAACTGTTCGATACAGTTTTGAAGACTATTGTGGTGATTTGCAAACAGGGTCAGCATGTGGCAGCAATGCCGTGTGCACCTCAAGCAGTTGCAATTCCAATCTGTGTGACTGAGGTTTGGAGTTGTGTTCTTCTCCTGCGACAGTTGCTGGTAATTAAAATGACTTCTTTTCATGAACAGCCAAAGGATGCTGTGTTTTTGGCCTGTCTTCCATGCAATCCAAGGGTCCTCCCTGTTGGCAGGAAGAACCGCACTGCCAGGTACCAGTACCACTACAAAAGTCCACAACAAGTGGGCTCTCCTTGGGTTTTTTCATCGCCAGAACATCAAGCTAGCTAGCTATCACCATCGACAAAACATCAAGCTAGCTAGCTTTCACCATCTACAAAACATGCGCGAAACCTAGATCTATTTAGCGTCGTTCTTTTGGGGGGAACAAGGGAAGGAACAACTATCATCAACGTTCCAAACGTTTGGCGGAGCTAAAAGGTGTTTCACGACTTTTCGGTACCGGTAGGGTCAGATCGTTCATCGTTGCCGATATCCAAATAGCCCTCACTTCCTCCGATTTGCTTAGGTTTCCGTCCCCAGGCCAGATAGAAAGCCCAAGTCGAGAGGATGCCAAAAACGTACTGCGCAGGACCACCAGGATGTTTTTCGATCGTCAAATGTCCCCTCAAGAAACCGCCGAAGTGAAACAAGGAATAGACAGCATTGGCCAACAGAACTGTGCGCTTCAGATCGTCGTTGTTTGGATTCCGCAGCACACAAAAACACAGCGTCGAGAACATGGCATCGCCCGAGCTCGCAATCGAACACCAAAACTTCGCCGTCGGGGTCACCGTGCCCCCAAAGTGCTCTATAGTTCCGCCAGGCACAAGAACATACAAGGCAATCGAAGGGATGGGCAGCAAAGCCCCAGCCCAGAAGTACACTTTCTGAAAATTTGTCAATCCCATCTTCAGCGGCAGATGAAGTTGGAAGAGAAACTAGTGTTGTGACATGAATAAGGGAACAACCGGTACAAGTATAGCTGAACAAGTAATACGAAAGGATCGAAAGGAAGCTTCGGGCCGGGAATCAAACTGTATCTTTCCCACCAACACGACTCGGTGACACACTTCGCGAAAGATCGCGGTTGACGCGATGAGCATCATGCAAGACAGTTTCATCTTGTTGACTCAACCTCTACTAGCTAGAGAGAACTATTACAGCAGCTATTACAGCCATAGGTTTCGGATGCCCGAGTCGAGTCTCACAAAAAGTAGTCTCTATTTGAGGCCACAAGAGAAGAAATCTGCTAACTATTTGGAGCTGTGCAATGGCCCGTTTGACTCTCCCTGCTCCTTGAGCACGGTCGAGCTAAGGAAAAAAGTCATGGTACTGGCTTGGATCCAAGGTGCAGTTGCAGGAACAGCCACAGAGCTCTCGGGTACAATCAAATTCGAAGACACAGCTCCTGCCCTTTGCGCCAAAAACGCAAGAATCCTCCTTCAATGAACAAAGCTCATTTGGAAGACTACCCTCCAGGTTGGCATTCCCACTAATGTTGAAAACCCTGAGAGAATGGTTTGCGGCTAGGACAGAAAGAGCGCTGGGAATTGGACCTGTGAACGAGTTGGAGGCCAGGTTCAGCGTCTTCAATTGTTGGAGATTGCCGAGCTCAGATGCTATGGAACCTGAAAACTGGGAGTTTGACAGATCAACATCTTGCAAGGCATGCATGACACCAATCTCACTCGGCATGGGTCCAATGAATTGGTTGGATGCAAGGTGAAGCAATTTCAGATCCTTCATCAAGCCAATCTCAGACGGTAAAACCTTAATACTGTTCCCATTCAACCTGATGCTCTTCAAGTTGGGGATTATAGGAAACTCCCCAGAAAGATTGTTGCCATTGAAACCTAGGTGTTGTAATGCAGTCATGGACTGAAACTCGAGTGGTACACTCCCTGAAAGAGAGTTGCCTTGAATCCACATTCCTGTCAAATTCTGGAGAAGTGCAAATTCACTGGGAAGGGAACCTGAAAATGGACAAGGACGCGGTCAATTTTGTGATGCTACAGCAAGGTACAGTACAAGTGCCATCGGAAGCTTACCAGAAAGGCTGTTGTCATTGGCACCAAGACCTGTCAGAGCCGTGAGCAAGCCCATTTCACTGGGTAAGCCAGACAAGAGATTTCCAGTCATCCAGAGCTGATTCAATCTATTCATGGAGGCAATCTCTGAAGGAATGATACCAGAAAGGAGATTCCCTCCAAAGGCCAGGCCTTTCATATTGGTGAGTTGCCCAATTTCGGATGGAAGAGTTGATATCAGAGTGCTGTGTTGCATCCAAAGCCCAGTGAGGCTAGTCCAAAGCCCAACCTCACTGGGGATGGAACCAGTGAATTGGTTGTCGTTCAATCCTAATTCCTTTAGAGATGCCATGACACCAACGTCTTGCGGAAGGAACTCTGTGAGTTTTCCTGGGATTCCATTATCGTTCAAGAAGAGCCACTTCAGGCCTGTCAAGAGTCCAATTTCAAGAGGCAACCGGGGCTTCTTGGATGTTGCCATTGCGGTAGCGGACTCCAGTTCATCCAGGCGTAGACCTTCCAGAATGATCAGCTTATACACCCATCCTCCGTTTTTGCATGGCTCTCGATGTGAACTGTCCTCTTCGTTGAGTTGGAATTGCCCCGTGTCTTCATCGAAGACTCCATAGTTGCTGTAGAACCAATCACATTCTGATTTGGTGTCATCTAACCAATCATTTCGAATTGGTTTGGGCCAGTTGGGTCCATCCAGCGAGTAGAAAAGAGTGGCCAAAGCAAACAACTGTACCTTACGCCACTCTTCCAAGCGAGTAATGTTCTGGTGGTTTTCGAGCCAATGCATAGCTTCCGATTGGGGAGAAAAGGGATCCATCAGGGTTTGTAGTGTGTAGTTGGGCAGAGTTTCGAGGAGCATGCTGAGAGGACTGGATGGTGCAGCAGACGGCGTATGATAACTTGGTGCACTGGTTGGAGACAATGCTACTGTTGCTAACGGTGCCGAAAGGTCATTGTCACCGCCGATCCCTTTTCCGTAAAAGACTCCTAGAACAAATACCAGGGCCATCATGGCAACGGCAAACACTGCCAGGAACACGTATCCGATCTGTCGGCGTCGTACAGCGTATTGTTGTCTGCGCAATTGTCTTCGTTGATTCTCTTGCTCCAAGTCTACTTCATCTGCCTGCACAAGATCCAAACGGCGAGGGTTGTTGTCGTCCAAAAGCGTCGCTTGCACCAAGCCCGAACTGTTAGTGGCTGTTGGCACTGGTTGCGTCGCAGGTGCATCTGCTCCATTTGTAGAGACTGGCTCGTCATCGGTTGCGGAATCACTGGTCGTTCCGCTGCTCGCAAGGGTAGTGTTGGCATATCTTGCGCCCAAAGGAGGAGCCACTGCGTAAGCCCCGGGAGTCTGGCTGTCAACTGCTGAATGTCTCTGCGAATTTCTCTGCAGCCGAGTCTCCGTCAAGGCCAATTCTTGATCATGGTCAATTTTGCGGTCAATTTTGCGGTCATTTTCTGCAAGCACAAGCACAAGCTCGTGTTGTTCCGAGGAGTCCAATTTCGCCAACTCCTCTTCTCCTGATTCCTTAGCAGCCGATGCTGGCGGCACATCTGGCTGATGGTGCTCTGGGGGTTCTTTGTCTTTGAGCTTGTCATCTGGGTTGCGTGGTCTTGCCCCAGCTCGTTCCGCTACGAGCTGCAATATATCAAACTCTTCACTGTTGTTATCACTGGCATCCCGGTGTGGTAGTATAGCTCGTTCTAGATCTCGACCTTCTAAAAGATCCCAGTCATCATCCTCCTGGTTGACAAATTGGTGTCGTTCGCCTGGACTGCCAGTTTCACAAACTTCAGATGCAACATCTTCTATGCGGTCATTTGCAGCCGTCTCGCCCAAGGTCTCGTTGCTGTCTTTGCCGTCAGAGTTCATGGTCGATCACTTCTTTCACACAGGATGTAGCTTGCAAGCTAGTACTGTACCGATAGGGAAATACCGGTACCGGTGCGAGGGGAGATCAACAATAATAAACCAGAGAGGAGATTGATTGAGGAGATCGGGAAGTGGTGGCAATTTGGCTTAACGCCTAAAGGGCAATTTGGCTGGGTCTTCATCGGTGTTCTTGGGCTTTGCGCGTCATTCTTGTCGTCTGCTGTTCTGTCCTATCGATATCGCGATACCTTTAAAACATAGTTAGAGATCAGGTTACTACCGGTATCTGGTCAGTCCCAAGGACACGATCCACGTGGCACTCCGACCAACTTCGCTTCCGATCCTCATCTTCTTGCGTCAGCCCCTGTGCTATTGCCTGCTTCCATCGGATGTGTTGATGAGTTCATCATATTCAATCAAATTGATTGCCACCTGTCGACCGACCCAAGAAGCTTGATGTTGTTCTGTCTAGCTAGCTAGATCATAATCTGCTATTCTGCCCCGCAAACCCTCTGTCTGCCTGATCTCTCTTTCAAACAAGCGCTACAATCCACACAATCATGAGATTCCAACAAGCCCTCGTTTCCATGGCTCTGCTTTGCCTCGGATCCGCCGTCGAAGCACATGGACGGTTCGGAGCAACGGCATGGGGTCGACCATCCTCATCGTTGTCATCCGTATTGGCAGTCCCCCGAGGTGGTATGCAGCTCTTTGTCAAGACTTTGACGGGCAAGACTGTTTCCATTGAAGTGGAAGAAGGTGAATCGATCGAAGACGTCAAGGCCAAGATCTCGGAAAAGGAGGGCATCCCACCCGAGCAACAAAGAATAATCTTTGGGGGACAGCAACTTCAAGATGGCAAGACTCTGGATGATTACAATGTGGGAGATGACGCCACGCTCCATTTGGTCCTGCGACTTCGTGGTGGAGACGAAGGATTGGACAAGGTCATGAATGCTTTCAACGTCAAGGGCATGATGGGTTCGAGTGCATTTGAATGCGACGAAGCCTTTGTCAAGAAACACTTGACAGGTCTGACGGATGCCGACCGAGAATTGATGAACACCTTTGTCTCACAGAGTCAGCTCACAGAAGAAGAAGAGGCGTTGACCAAGACAACACCCGTTGCCAAGCGAGCGCTCTTTTACCTGGGCAAGCCACCACAAAGAGTCAGCGAGGAAAGCCCCTTTAAGAATATTCTAGAACCCCGGTCACCGCTCAAGGGCGAGTTTGACTACAAGGGAAAGTTGGTGGCCACCGACGGCAAGAACAAGAGCACAAAACTGACAAAGGTTTACAAGCGACGGGATAATGAACACAAGCTATATGGAGCATTGAAGCGAATGGGCTTGGCATGAGCTCACCACATGACAAACAATAGATGTGTGTTATATTTTGGCACTAACAACTAATGGAATAGGTATATTGGTCCATTGCATTAGTCAGTCGCAGCACGCTAACATGAAGCCCTCACTCGCTCTCGGCACCAGCCAACATGGACAACCCGCCAGCAATCGCCGCGAGGGCCACGATACTCAGCCAATACTGGTCTGAGCGCTGCTGCTGTAGCCGAGCTTTTTGCGTGGCCGTCAGTTCCGGCTTTACCTTACTCTCGGCATCTTCTGCATGAGTAGATTCAGACTGGTTCTTGTGCTCTACCTTTCTTTGGTTCGCCATGAGTTCTTGAGCTCTCGCTTCTTTTCCCTTTTGCAGCACGTTGAGCAAATCATGGTCTTTGGCCGAGAGCGTCTGCATGAGCTCCAAGGCATTCTTGAGGTTCTTGACGTCTTCTGGCTGCTGCTTGTCATCGTCCGAATCCAAGGGAACTTGCTGGAAGCAATTGATACCGTTCTGGTGCTTGTTCCAAACTTGCCAAGAGTTGGTGTCGTCGGAGGATGATACTGCAAAGTAGGTCTTGTGAACAAATTGAAAGTACTGGATCAACACAGGAAAGTCGGCCAGAATCACAACCAGGTTCACGTCGCAGAGGGCTTCAGCAAGATGGGCCCAGACAAGGGCATCTATCAAGGCTGGCTGCTGGGTGCCCAAGATGTATTGGCTGCTGTCTTCTCGTCGTGATAATTGTTGTTCCAGAATTCCATAGGCATCTCGAGCTTCTTGCTTGGCCTTTTCCACAGATGCCCCATCCAAGCACCCCATCAGTGTCTTTTGCGCCATGACTCGCTCACTCCAGGCTTGATACACCCCCCTTGCGGTTGGAATAATACTACTGGTAGGATTATCCTGCGTGCCATGATTCCGGCTGGCATCAAAACACTGCTTTCGATACACCTGCGACCAGGAATCGCCGTCTTGGTAACGTAGTACTGTCAAAGATTTTTGCAATTTGGTCGTCAAAAGCAGACGAAGCAAAGTGGATGTGGTTTGTCGCTGCTTTGTGAGGGCATCATTGCCTGGATCGACTAGATGTGTATCCAAATCCACGCCTCGAGTAGTTTTGAGATATTCTAGAATGACATTTTCAGGTCTTTGTCCACCTCCTCCAACCTCTTCAGAGTTGAACCAACCTGGCTGTCGTCGCCCCAACAAAACAGGAGCCTTGATATCACTATAATCTTGCAGTGCTGGTAATGGCCCTGTCGATTCGTAGGAGGCGTAAGAAGAATTCACTACGACATGAGGGATTCCTGCCATTCGCAGAACCAACTGTTCCACCCATGCCGGACGATATTGAACCAGAGTCAGAGAAATCTCTGGGAACATGGAATTGGTTCGAGGCGACAATCTTGCGACAGCATCCACCTCTTCGTCCCAGCAGTCTTCAGCCCCTGCTCCTGCAGTACCGTCTCCCCATACCTCGGTCCATCCCTCTGTTCGCTTTTCAGTGGCAAACCGATCGCGGCTGAGACCACAACACAATCATTTGCGAGAACATTGCAACAACAAATGAGAAAGATACTACATGATTTGCTTGGGCGCGAATGATAGTACAGTATCTCTCCACACTCACCTGTCCGAGGTAAGATTACAAATGGAGGTCGCAATGGCTGCCTGGAACAGCAGAAACCCTTCTCGTGTCATCTTGGGTCTACAGGGGTGATGGATGCGACAGAACCGAAAGCTGCGCTGTGGGGAGAGGTGGCTGCAATAGAGCCGTCAGGTTCATCATTAGAGTTAGGTCTGACTTCCACCGTAATCAAATAATGAATTCTTGAGATGAGCGTTATCTCTTTTTCAATATCTTTAAGCCCAATTCAATTCCTGTCACACTTTGGCGGGCACGTCCATCACACGCGTCCACCCCTCCCAAAACCTTCGTCCACTCACATCTTCTTTTCAGCCATGGATCCAGAGTCCAGGAAAAGCAGCAACAACAGCAGCAGCATTGGTAGCGGCGCTCCTACCGCCCCTGGAACTGTCACTGGAGCGAGTGCTCTTCTTGCTTCTGGTCTGACAACCTCCTTGATGGCAGAAGAAGTGGTCAGCTTTTTGGACAGAACCTCTGTTTTGAGTTGCATGGAAGTCACTCAGGCTGAGAATCAGTTTCAATTGACAAACTACTACTGCTCTGACCATGGAAGCAAACTGGAGTGTCAAAAGGGTCTTCGTGAAGAGATCATTCCAAAGAAATTCCCGTGGTTGAAAAAACAAAAAGAGAGCAATGATGCTGGCAATGAACCCAAGAAAAAGCTGAAGAAAATCGACTGTGAAGACTGTGTCAACCTGGAGCATGGGCTTGATCGCTGCCCTTGTTGCGAGGAATTTTCCGAGCAGAAATGGATGGTTACATGCCAAAAGCCTGGATGCGGCAAGAAGGCCTGCGATACCTGCCTTGAATATGATCTAGTTGTGATTGAATACTGCGACGATTGTCGTGAATGGGCTTGCAAGGATTGTGTGCCACTCGATTACTATTACTGTGACATTGCCAATACAGTTTCTGTGCCACCTGTCGAAATCTTGTCCACTGCTCTTGTTGCGGTCAGCTTTGTGGGTGTGAGAAAATCAAATCTGGTGAAACTGATGCTGTCTTGTGCGAGCTATGCGACGAGGTGCATTGCGACGAGTGCTCTTGTTGGTTGTGATCCAAGTAATTCTAGAAAAAGAGCAACAACAACAACAAACAGGGTGGGCTCCTTGGATTGGGCTGATTTCCTTGACCAAATTTACCCTCGGGGGCAAGGGACAAACCAGGAATTTTGCAACAGAAGCAACTCAAAGTATTGGCTTCACGGCTCTAACCTTTAGAAGCACTAAGCTAAGGTAGTATCGCTGGCGCTAGCTCTTCCCGTAGCTATGCATAGAGTGACAGTCTAGTCATCAAAACCCAGTCCTATCATAGTTTCTTTATGAATTATTATGCCAGCTGTCCTCAGGCCAGTCTATTACCCTGTGCTACCATCCCGCTTTGCTTGCCTACTACTACTACGACAGGACCAACGACAGAATGGACACTGCTATTGCAAATGCCGATTGCATGACGGCGCCGTTGGAAGCAGTAGGAGCGGCCACTGGACTGACAGTCTCGTTCGCCGATAGTTGCGTCGTGGGCGCTGTTGTTGGAGACAAGACCGATGGTGCATTGTTGTTGGGAGTTGGACTTGGCGTTGTCTTGTCCAGAATGCTTTCTCCAATAAACTCACAGCAGCCTGAAACGGCAATGGTCTGCACGAAAGAACAGGCTTCCGGCGTCGTGACATAATCTGCCATCTGGGACCATTCGGCGCACGTTGAACCAACTACATATCCTCCTGCTTGCAACAAGGCCTTGTCTTTGATGTCATGCTTCCAGGGCTCCAAAATCAAAACCTGTCCTTCGGGGCAAAAGGAGCACTTGTCCTGTCTACTAGCCGTGGCGGTGTCGCCCTCGGGAACGGAGAAGACGGCAAGATCCGGAACACCGGGGCATCCGCAGAAGGAGGCCATGTCAAAGGGAAGCCAGCTCGTGTCAAATGATTTGCAGTCTTCCGCTGTGGCTTCAGCTCTCCACTCGTCGTATTCATCGCAGTACAAGCCAACAATGGAAATCATCTTTTCGGATTGCAGCGGTCTTTGCCCATTTTCACAAAGGTAGCAAGTCGTAAACTTATTGATGGCACTCTCCAAACACCCAGAGAGACCCGGCAAGAACGTATTGGTCGCATATTCTCCCGGAATTTTCTCACCAAAGGCTTCTGGCAGAGCTACATGATCCAGTTCTTGATAGAGCTGTTTCCATTTACTTTGCACCTTCTCACCTGCTTTGATGGCGTCCTCGACGTTCTTGTTGGTGGGGTTGCTTGCTTGCTGCGTTCCTGTCTCTGACAAGTTCATTGGATTGCGAGAGACTCGAGCAGGTTGAAACAAATCTCCCAGTTCCCCCTGCTGAAGAGACGAAGTTGCGTTGGCATTGTCGGGCGACTCAGCGCCTAGTTGCAATGTATTCACCGCCACCAACGGGGTCGTGTGCTCTTTGAAACACATGCGAACAGCTTCGTTAATGTTGCCTGCAGTACTGATGTCCAGAACAAATGGAACATTGGGAGCCACAGGATTGCGAGTGACAACGGCAGTGGTACCTTCGAGATCTGGACCGTCCGCCAAGTTCAAGGTTGGTGTGGTTCCGTCGGTTGTTCCCGTCTGGGCTGCATTCCCACCGGTGGCCTGCTGTGAAGTACTACTATTCACCCGAGTGGGGTCACTGGCAGGAGTGGTGCCACTTGTGCCTGCTGCGTCTTCTTCATCAAAGTAGTTGGTAAAGAAATCTGGCAATTGCATTCCATCACAACATTCCAATCCGACATATTGAAAGACGGCACAGGAAGATTCTCCTTCATTGGCATATTCTGCCAAAGTAGCCCAGTCGCCACACGTACTGGTTTCGTCACTTGCCAGACGTTTGGTATACTCGTTGAGAGTGCCCCCGTAGGGACAAAAGCCACAGCCATGATTGGGTTTGACAGCATTGTTGCAGCCACAATATGCCTTCAGATCAAAGGGATAGTCCGCCGCAACCTCGCCACACCGTAATGTAGAGCTAACGAGGTATAAGTCATGAATATCCGAACAAGTCATACCCAAGTAGAGTGGCGCATTCAAGTTTTGAGGTGGTGCACCATCGTCGCAGAGTGTGCATTGTGGGATGGATGTGGAACAACCACAATACGACGCAAAATCATCAGTCAACTGGCACGTGGCATCCCCATCCAAGGCAGGGATATCGGCAAACGCCTCACAGGTGATGCTGCTAAAGGGAAGTGTCTTTTCCTTTTGAATGGATGCCTTGTCGTTGCAAAAGTCACATTTCTTGGTGACACCCGGAGCGGGACATCCACAAAACTTCCACCCCAGAACTCGCTCCAATGCGCATTCTTCAGTGTTGGCTGGAACTTGAACGGCATATCTCAGCCATTCATTGCAACTGGTACCATCAAAGCTCAAGGATTGATCTATGGGGCCATCGCATGGGATACAAGGATCAAAAGTATCTTGCTGGTTCTGAGCTTGCTGCTGCTGATTCTGGGTTTGTTGTTGTTGCTGCAAGATCAACTGCTCTTGCTCTTCAATCAGATAAGGATCTCCACCACCAGCGGTGGTACCCTGAGACGGTTCCTGTTGCTGCTGCTTTGGTTGGGCTGTGGCCAAGGAGGGCAGAAGTGCTGCCAACAAGAAACCAATCGCTTGTCGTGCCGCCATGGATCTCATCCTGTTCCAATCCTTGTTAAACAACTTGGTTTCCGGAATGATCGAATCTATTAATAGCTAGATCTAGATCTGGAAAGAGGATTCGCACTAATGAATATCATCATGTCCTGCAAAAGAATTTTGACGCAATCAGTGCTCATTCTTACAAGACCCCGCGGGGAGGAAAGTTTGGTTTTGGGCGGATATTGTGAGCGGAAGCCCAGTTGATTTGCTTCCAGGACATGGCCGAAGGACAGCTTCCGACTCTGAGCCACAACGGTTAAATACAGTTGAACCAACCAACCTGGTGATGTACCACGTCTACCCTGGCAAGCCAACTTTACTCTTGTAAAGCAAGAATGACGGTTCTGTTTGATCCAATGTGATGGGTGACCAGACCAATTCTAGAAGGATCACTCGGCGTGTCTCGGACTCCCGCGCCAATGATGTCTAAATATTTCTTGGCGATCAGCGCGCGCCTTTCACTACTTGGAGCAAAATAAGACGGCCATCCGCGGGTGCTTTCATGTGAGAGGCCTTCGCTCGCAAATAGTAGCCAAACGCCATTCGCAGCGAACAAATCACTTGAAGGAACCCACTCACGGGGGGCTCTCTCTTTTGCTTTGACAATGGATGTTGGCTACGGCAGCGGAGGCACAGCAGTTCAAAGTCCGAGTATGCAGAAGTGGTATGAACAACAACACCATAGCGGAACTGAAGAGATACGAAGCGTTACTCCAGCAATGAACAACACAAGAGGATCCTTTCGAAACAGCCCAGCTGCCAGTGCTGGAGGAGGACCCAGTGGCTCTTATGGTAATAATGGCAGCTCCACGCCCACCGGAGCCTATGACAATGGAGCACCAAATCGATACCTGGGTGCCTACAACTCACCGGATGGCGGAGGAGGAAATGGATCTGTAGGTCCCACGCCAGGAGACGCAGCACCCCATCAACCATCCTCCACGGGCTTGATTCGCCTTAGTCTCCGAAAACCCATGGGCATTGTCTTTGAACCCATGTACGATCCCAACAATGCTTCTCTACAACGTGGAGTTAGAATCTGTGACTTGCCGCGGACTGGAGCTGCTGCTCTGTCGCGAAAGCTAGAAGTTGGCGATGAACTTCTTTCGATAAATGACAAAACCATGTCACGACTCTCGTTTGACGAAATAATGGATTTCATCATCGAAGCAGACCCAGAGGAAGTCAACCTCTTATTTCGAAGACCCAGAAAAGAGACACTGCAAGCTCGACAAGGAATCAAGAAACCCTCCAACTCACAGCCTGCAGTCAAGTGGGTCGATGATGACGTCCGCAACAAGAAGAAGGACAAGAAAAAGGACCGCAAGACGGAGAAAAAACCATCTAGACGATCCAAAAAGGAGGAAGACGATACTATCACTTCTCATGATGAAGATTATCGCAGTGGACGGTCGTCACGGAAAAAAGGAAAAAGCAGAAAGCATCCCTATGAATCGGAATCATTTCTTGACCTTCTCATTGACACTATTTGCGCAAACCCGGACCACGCTTGTCGAGAAAGAAGGCGCGGCGGAGACGACGACTACTACTCGGACGAAGATGAAGATGGAACTTTTGCCTCACAGGATGATTCTACTTATGTGACGTATGAGTCGGAAGACCATGTAAAGAGACGCGGCAAGTCTAGTAAAAAGCGAGAGGATTCCTCAGTCGACGAAGAAACAGAAGAGGACACTGTAGAAGAAAAATGGAAGCGAAGGCACAAGAAAGAAAAAGAGAGAGGTGGCTCCAACAAATCGCCCATGAAAGATAAGCAACGGTCCAAGTCGCCCGAGAAGCCAAAGGTCGATGACAAATACGAAGATGATGGCACTCTGGAAACTGTCGACTCGCAAGATCGAGCCAAGGCCGTCTTGGCAGAACAACCACCCCTCGGATTAACACCGGAACCAGAGCCCGTCGCGGTGGACATGATGCCTCCTCCACCTTCTGATGACGATGCCAATCCAGCACCCATCAAGGAACTGGAATATGACGATCGCATTGATCATGGCGCCGACGTGTCTGTCATGGAGAGTCTCGGCGGGCCTTCCTTGCTCATTGAGAAACAGAGAATGGCAGCGGCTGCCAAAGCACCTCCTGCTGGCATTGCATCCGGACCCACCGTGCCTACCGAGTTTATTGAAAAGTTTGGCAAGGATTACCCAGTCACCTTTGGGCTCACTCATGAACAAACCATTCAAGCGGATCCTCTCAAGTTTTACACATCTGTGGTCAAGGGTTTGCTGGAAGAACACGAGCCAGAAAAGGTCCGTCTGCTCGACAAGCTTCTGGCCAAGTACAAGGGCCGAGAAGATCATCTGGTTCAGAAACTGTCAGTCAGGTATAGCAAGAACAGCGAACCAGAACCAACTCCTTCCATTCCGGAAGAAGAAGAGCCAGATGAACAACCCGTATTTGTGGAACCAGACCCTCCTACCCCACGAGAACGAAGTCCAAGTCCTCCTGTCCAGCCTCCTCCTCCATCACCTCCTACAATGCAGCCAGCAGAGGCGCCGTTCACTCCAGATGAGTGGCCCGACAAAGAAACCAAAGAAGCGGAAGAGGGAGACTCTCAGGAAGAACAAACCGCAAGCGCCGACTCGGAGTATTCTGGCGACTCGATCGATGGCACTTCCCCAGCCGTTATCGCACAAGTCTCCGAGCTCTTGAATTATGTTTACGGCAAGACGTCCGTTCCTGGCCAAATTGATCGAGTATCCACGATTATGAGGGCCTATGAAGGACGAGAAGCTGTGTTGCTCGAGCTGTTGGAGACAAAGGCTCTCATCAAGGCAAACAAAGAAAAAGAAAACGCCGATAATCTCCCATCCTTCTTACGGAACACCCAGGCAATGCAATTTAAGAATCCCGAAGAAGTCAACAGCGATATGCCACCGGTTACACCGATGGCAACGCAACAGCACGTAGGGAGCGGAGGAACTTTGATCAATGATGATATTTCGTCCATGAGCGGTGTTTCTTCTCCAGCAGAAGGACAGCAACAACCGCACGGACAAATACTGAATCCACCCATGTCGGTAAGTAACTTTTTACTATCCTTGATGAAGACATGCCCATCTTGTGCCTCACATTCCAATCTCGTGTTTTGCACGTTTGCCTTCTTTTGCAGCACGAAGAGGAAGTTGAAGTTTCTCAAGCATCTCATCACGAGTTGAGTCATTCGTTGGACCATGAGGTGGAACCACCGCAACTACATAAGTCAAAGAATCGTGTGGGAGGAGCAACGCCAGACAAGAAGAAGAAAAAGGGAATCTTTGGAGGTCTATTTGGCGGCAAGAAAAACAAGAAAAATAAAGACGCTGTCGGTGCGCTACCGGCAAACGACAGCCTCAGAAGTGGAAGCCGATCACGGGCAAGCCGCAAGCTCCGTGCTAACAGCGAGTCATCCATCTAGCACCCCCTTATCTAGTGTCTAATAGCAATATAATTCCCTCCCAACTCTATCATACGTCCAGTTGTGCTCGGTCGCTGCCCACCCCTGAGCCTTTCTCAAAACTCAATTGTAGAGCCAATGTTATCGGGGCGAGCGCGAAGGCGCATGATGCCCAGCCAAACAAATTCCTGTCCTCGTCAGTTGCCGGTACCGCTAGCGCCAACGATACGATTGCGGTCGGTCTAGTACCGGTCGTACCGTACCGGTATGTGACAAACTAGAAGAGGTTTCACTACTGTTACCGAACGAACCCTTACCAAAGCCATGTGGCCAGCCGCAAGCTCCATCCTCAGCCTCCTCAGAGCCACATGGACATCCCACACCGAATGAAACTTCAATCCCAGTTGGGTGTCGTACGGTAGGCGCGCATGACTGCCTTTGTGCTTGGAAGTAAGTTCATGGGAGCAACAAGCCCGATTGGTACAGTACCACCAAAGCCACATCCACCACAAAGCTCGCTCATCCAGAGATCCATGGGTGTCATGGAGAGAGGTGATAGTACGGGGTGCTACCAGTAGTACGGTACTGAGTAGGTTTTGCTTTGTAGTTGCTGTGAGCTGTGGGTTCTACTTCAGAGGAGAAGAGGAGTGTTTTTAACAAGTGATCTCCAAATTGCATGGTTGTTTCTCTAGCTACCTCCTAACTAATAATAGCTTGGTTCCTCGTTTGGGCAACTCTTTACTTCCAGTAACGCCACAAACAGGCAGGCATTGATGCGCCTGCACGAATACCGTTATCTTTGAAGTTTCCTTAGCTTTCTTCTCAACAGTTTTCTTTATTTGTTACGTTCTATCTATATAGCCTACATTACATCTGCAGCGATGAGACGAAGCCTTGCAAAAAATGCTCTTGCACGCAAATTTTTCAGTTCAAGAAAAGATATCTGTATGGCTGCTGTTCAGTTTTCTTCAGGAGAAGATGGGAATGGGACATTGCAAGTATCCAGGCACTCCCATTTATTGTAGCGGACAGATGTGAAGCCATCTCCAGAAACACAACGAACACCAGCCAAGCTGCCACCGCAAAATCTATTTGCAACCCGAGCACGCAGATAACCAAAATCGACTGTGTTCCATGTTAGAGGGCTGTCCCCAAAGACACCACAAGTCTGTTCTAGAGTTGTTTCGCCACTTTTGCAGCTTGGGAAGGCTGCGGCAGCGACGAAGAGGAGGAGCACTAGGACTGTCAACATTGGAAGACTGCCAACTCTTGCTACAAGAAGCATATCCGCTCACGGTCTCGTTCTGTCTCGTGGTGTTTACTTGTACCGGTACGAGTACGCTGATCCACGTTTTTGGGTATTGTGCAACTGCAGGTTGTTGCTGTCAAGTGCTTTGACAAGGACTTCTTCAAGTTCTTCTGGAGGACGACACAACCCGGCACTGAAAGCCTATTCATGAGCTTTCATGGTAGCTAATGAAATTGATAGTCCCTTCACTTATGAAGAGTCTTCTACTATCTATGTTTTGGCTATTCGGTGTCCCTAATAATAGCTTCCCAATATGTGCATTGGGCGATCGAGATGCCTTACTCCGAGCAGTATTATAGCTCTTATACCGATAGCCACCGCTCCTTAAGATTCAAGCTCAGTGGTGCTTGCTTGATATCCTAATCACCATCGTATCGACAATCAATGTTGTGGCCGGTGTCCTGAACCCAGACCACCCACCTTGGCAGGGCGTGCTTCGTCCAACTACTTAGTAGGCTAAAAAAACATTATGAATCGCGAAAAACATTATGATGGGAAATTTGTTGGGGAATCCGAAAAGCGCAGCGCCAAACGGACAGTAGATTCCGCCGGCGTGATCTCAAAATGCAACGGCGAAAAATAGGAACATCCCAACACCCAATCCCATCGTTATCAGCTCTGTTGTAACACTTGGAGTCTACAACCTCCATTACAGTTGTTGACGTTCAAAAGATAAGATACCCACAATCGACTTGTACCCTTCTCGTGTGGTTGAGTTGAGAGAAGAGGTGCGGCAGAAAAGGAATCAGTCTTTGGTAATTCGAATTGGTCACAATCGTCGATCTGCAACCGCCAAAACGGGTAGCTTTTGGCGTTTGGCTCCTGCGTTGCATGCAAAGCCACTGCAGTGCAGGAACGAGCCGACAATCTTAGTTTCGTAGACTAGTTGGTGTTCTGTGCTACTAGTACCTTAACCACGGCGATCAGGAACGATGATGACCTACGGGGCCAGAAGTCGGCACAATCTACGCCTGGGTGTCTCAGTGGGAACAGAGCAGACCAGACCCGATACTTTTACCAAACCATCCAACCCCGAAATGTCGCCTGGAAGCACGCTCAAGTGGCGTATGCACCATCGCAGCTCAGCTGCATCGGTTGATTGTACTGCCAACGATACAACATCCACAGCAACAACCAACACTGAGCCTTCCACACATGCCGACTATACATTGTCAGCTGCCACCAGTGCAAGCATCGTCGCGAACAGTACCACTGCAGCCAACAACCATAGCCAAGATGCAGCCATGGAAAAGTCCATGAACATGCGTACTCGGACCAACTTTGGAGATTATCAGGGCCATGTGCCACCCGAGGCAAAGCCTTCGCCTCACAACGTCAGTATCTTGCCAAGGGATACCCCCATAGTAGCACCCAAACGAGTGACACCAGAAACACCACGTCGTTCGTCGCCGGGACGCAAGGCTCTACCTAACAGCCTGAAGCTTCCCGTCTTGCCCTTACCATCGCCATCAGGAAGTGATGCCAACAGTGATCGTCTTCCCGAGTCTCTACCTTCTCCTTTGGCTGAGAAGAGGCTCCAGTTCTTTGATGATGCTCCTGCAGACCAGGTACCTTTTGATCAGGTATGGAACCAACAAGAGTTCGTACTGGGAGACGACCAACAACAAAAGACATCTGATATGGGATCTGAGGATAACCAAGAGCACGACAACCGAGCTGACGATGATCAGTCTATCGGAACAGATGCCAGCAAGCCCTTTGACGAACCAACCCCAGAGAAGATGGGCCCATCTGACTACTCTGCATTCTCTGCGTATTCCATCAACTCGTCTTCTACCACCACGGGGCCTCAACCCGTGCAATCACCACCCCAGCCGCCCCCACCACCGCCTCCACATTCCGCGAAACAGCAAAGAAAGAAAGCCCCGCTGGATCCACCCCTACCAACTAGCTCATCGTCACCTAGATCCCCGAGGATAAAGAGCCGCATGATGCCATACACACCGACTCCTCCTGGGTCGCCCAGGGATAGAAGGATTCCCATCCGGCCACCCAGAAGCCCAAGTGGTGAAGAGAAGAAGACCGACGACTCGGCTGTAATGATGCAACAAGCACCGGCCTCGCAGTTAAACAATTATGAAGCGGGGGGCAATGATGACGATATCCCATCAGATGAAGATGAATCAAAGCTCAGCAACCTAAGCGGAAGAAGTAAGCAGAATTTGTCTTTGGCAACAGCATCCAAGGGCACCGCAGCGGAAGATGTTGGATCAAAAGCCGAAGACTTGAGTGTTTCTGGCAGCAATACCAACCACATGAGGGGCAAAAGCAAGAGTGATCACGATGAAAACAAGTCTGTGGACTCTCTCTTCGACTTTAGGGAACATGGATCTTTTTCTCCCAAGCAAATGTGCCTGTCCCCCACGCCACTGACTCCTAAGTCTCCACTAACACCCGACTCTCCTTCGTCAAGGTCCTCGCAGAAATCTCCAGGTCGATGGAGAAAGAATGCACCTACGGAACTGACGTGCCGCGTTGACGATGACACATCTTCTTTGGATGTTCCGACAGGGGACATCGACGAAGCCATGCGACTCAAAGCGAGGGCACAAGAAGCCTTTGCCACGAGAAGACGGTTTTCGCCCAAGAAGGGCACGTCTCCTCGATCACCAGGGGTCGGCTCTTTGCCTCTTGCTGAGGGAGTGAGCAGTGATCTGCCTGCGGACAGGAAAGAAGTCACTGGCCAAAAATCACCTCGAACGCAGAAATCCCCTGTTCGGCAACCGCAACCACAACAACAGCCGCAACCGCAACCGCCACAGCTGGAAATCCCTGTAGAAACCACGAAGACAAAGAATGTGGTTTCTTTCACTGCCACCGACACGATTCATCACTTCCAACAAGAATATGATATGTATTCGGAACAAGATGAAAGCGCCATGTCAATGAGCACATTCGAAAACGACAAGTCTCTTGGAGCCGAAGTGGAAGAAGCTATCAAGGATATCTTCATGATTAACGCGCTGTCAGCCTGCAATCCGTCCCCGCCAAAGATTCGATCGGAATCTCGCTCGGAATCTCGCTTTGAACGACGGGACTCGGGTGGTCAAAGCAGCGAAGAAGATGACACATTATCAGGGACACAGTCAGATGCTCCTGATGACGCTGCCAAGGCTCAACGGCGCTCGCCCGATGCCGAGCGATCAACGAGAGAAATGGCGCAGCAAGGTGGCCAGCAGGATGATGTCTTTTTCGAAGCAATGCTGTCAATGGTAGAGGGAGGGATTGGTGCCATGACTGCGGCATTCGGGTTTGCGACAGGGGGGCCACCCGCTGTCATTGAGCAGCCAGCAGAGCCTCGAAGTAACCGTGCATTGCCGCCGACCACGCAGAATAGAGGTCGCAGCCTGCAACCAGCAGAGAGGCCGAGTCGTTCTCCGAACCATCGTCCAAACGGTCCGGAGTCAGAATCAGTATCATCAGACGTAAGTACATATCTCCTCTTGGCGGCGTTTCAGAATGAATCTTCGTTTGTGGCGTCGTACTAATCATTCTTTTCGTTGTCCGACAATGTGTGCAGATTCAATCAGAAGTCCCGCAGGACGAACGAAGCATGGACAGGAAGGCCATCATGGAACCGCCGACACCAGCGCAATCGTTGGAGGACGACCCTCGCCTGTTGGAGCTGGCGAAGCAAGCTGCCCTCTGTATGCATGAGGTTCTTGGTGTTCACTACGACGAATCAAAGGGAGTTGATATCGGTGACATCAAGTTCGTGGTCGTTGTGTTGACTTTACCGCTAGGCCGTAAGTTCCACACCGGGGTTTCTGAAATTTTGTCGGTGCCGAAGTCTCACTCCACGCTTGTTCTCACACCTACCTTTCAAACAAATCTGAAGTCATCTTTCAAGAGGACTATAGTGGGTGTTGGGTTACTAAAGTCATGCCTGGCGGCAATGCAGCACTAAGCGGGCGAGTTGAGCCTGGTGATCAGCTCGCCGCAATTGATTCCAGGAGCTCGATAGGGATGAAGGTGGATGACATTTGCGACGCTATTGCTGAGGCCTCTTCACGATGCAAGGAGATCGAGTTGACCTTCCTGCGCTATGTGGGTCCCTTCCAGCCTCTTCCATCCGATGGTGAACCTCGAGGGGTCCAACCAAAGAAAAGAGAAGGACTTGACGATGGAAGTAGCAGCAGCCGAAGAGGAAGTGAGGAAATGTACCCCTCGATTGAGAGCACTCTCGTGGAGGACGACTTCTTTGACGACAGACCACAGAGCACTCAAAGTGTGACAAAGGATGAAAAATTGAACAAGGGTCAAAAGCTCAAATCCAAGAAATCTGGGAGCTTTCGAAAGTCGTTCAAATGGCTCAACCGCCGAGGGAAGAAGCGTACCAGCAAAGCTGAATAAGCAATGTATTCATAAGATTGGGGCTCCTGTTTGAGCTCTTTCTTGCCAGCCCATTATGTAAGATTACTATAAATTGAGCATTATCTTGCTGACGTTGTCATGGCTCGTCGAGTCACATCATTTCCCGTTAGCTGACGCCAGTAAGACCAGAGCACTAGTAGTTTCAACCAATAATTTGCATTGACTTCTGGAATTGCCAATGGCAGTAGACGGCCTGATCACACCCTGCATGGAGTCCACAGAATACCGGGCTCCAAGTAAGTGTCCATCACCGTGGTACTACGGTCCATCAGAAGAAATAACAGGTTCCTCCATCACAACATGGGCTTCTCCAAGACTAGCAAATATTTGGATCTGATTCTAGCTAGACGACCATAATATCGGCTTGCTCCCCTTCCTCCTCACCGATCACCAAAGGAATAGCATAGTCCACTGCTGGAGCCTCGGGAATGTTTGTGACCGACCCCCGAGATCCATCTGATGCCAGCCATTCTCCGGAAAAGCATTTGTATCTTTCTCCTCCTCCCTCGAAGTTTCCCGAGACGACGCGCGAAATTCGCCTCCCCGATGAATCTTTGGTGGATGTTTCTTCCACAAAGTAGGCCTTTCGGGTTGCTGTCGCTACCAGTCCTTTTATTATGACAGAGCTTGTATTGTTGTGTTGTTGTTGTTGGTTAGACTTGCTAGTGGTGTTTGCAGCGCTTGGACCAACGAGTACCCTGGATCCTTTGAGACTGACCAATCCAGACGATTCCTTCAAGTCCGTGGCAAAGTTCAGTCGCATGACGCACAAACTGTGGCTTCCTTCCAGCAAAACATCACCACTCTTCTTGTGGACGATTCCGAATTGTCTGTCTTCCAAGCGATAGACGGCCGAGGCCGGTGGTTGCAGCAAATCACCAGCAGCAGTTGCGTCACTCATGATTTGGTCCTTGACGGCCTGAACGGACACTTGAAAATCCGAGCAATCTTGGGATGATGTGCGACAGGCGAGCTGTTTTGACACAATGAAAACGACAACTGTCGCAAGGAACACAAGTGGTTGGAACAGCGTGCCTCCCCAAGAGTGAATTATTGCCGTGATTATCAAACACAGAATCAAAAACAGGAGCAAACGGGTCGACATATCTACGCAACACCCGTCGCTCATTGTGTGGGTATTTCTTGTCAAGTCATCCAACGATGCCGTGATGGCAACAGAGGAACAGGCCGTTCGAGAACGAGATGACATGGTTCAAACTGCAATCAACACTGCTGGTGCTGAACCTGAACAGAGGTTGTGGAGAGTGGAGACCAAGATGAATCGAATCAACGATTGTTTCCAACTGGTGACGGTTCAGTCGTGATTTCAGGATATTAGCCAGCAGGACGGCTGTGCATACCGTAAAAGTATCCTACACGGTGGCTTGTGTGGCTCTGAGATTTGATGCGGTACCGTACTGGTAGACTAGATCTAGTAGTGGAAAAGAGAGTTCTTCCTTTAGCGAGATCAAAATAGATTGTATTGTTTCTGGAAGAACTCAATCTGTGTCACAAGCGTTTCGAGATGTGGGACAGGGACATTCAACTTGTTGGCTCTTTCCACCGGTTTTCGGAACAAGTATCGCACTTCCATCGAATTGCGTTCTGTAAAATCAATCATCGTCGAAGTTCTGTACGGTCCCATTGCATCACTGAGGTCCATCATTTGTTTCTTTTCTTTTTCTCCCAAAAAGTCTTGCTCGCCGTGTTTGACAAGATCGGCATTGGCGGCAGCAATTGTCTCATCCATGACGGTGTAGGCCAATCTCCGTAACCCTGGATCCGTGACAATCTTGTCGACAGTGACTCCTCCCAACGCCACACTGATTCCATTAAAGGGTAGATTCCACACCATTTTCTTCCATCGTCCTCTCAATAGAGACGGTTCGTAGGCGGTGTCAATACTGGTTGGTTCCCACAGTTGATTGAAAGCCTCTTCATTCTCTTGTGGATTGGTTTGATCGGGATTGTATGCCGCCACTCCACCACTGAGTAGGCCTGCGTAAGAATGGTCGACATGACCCGGTGTTATTCGGTTACTGCAGACCAGAGCCATACCTCCATAAATGGCACCACAGCACTGGATGGTTCCTTCATTTGTATCATCATCATCCTCGGAAGCTCTCTTTTTCAACTGTTGCAACAGATCATCCTCAATCATTCCATTCATAATGGCCAGTACACGCGTACTTGGTTGTAGCAAGGGATAAATAAGATCAGGAATGGCATCCACGGCAGTACTCTTGAGAGCCACTATAACCCAATCGACAGGACCAATTTCGTCGGTGGATTCATAGGCTTGCAAAGACTCTGGAGGGATATAGATATTGCCGAGTACCGATGTCACATTGAAGCCATTCTGGACACTTGCTTGGTAATTTTCCCCACGCATTTGGAACTTGACCGAATAGGCACCCGTTTCCCACAACCGTGCTCCATAATATCCTCCGACGGCGCCAGATCCAACAATGGCAACCGTGGGAAGATCATTATTATTTCCCCCATCATTTTTGCTACCCAAAATATGGTAGTTCCGCGGCCTTTGGTGGAAATCGACCACAAAGCTACTTCCACACCTAATATTCAGCAGGAAGACCAGAGAAGTGTAACTAAGAAGCAGAGTTAAGCTCATCATGGCTGAAAATTTGTTGACTTCGAGGTACTAGCTAGTATTGCGTTGGTTCGCGACATAATGTATGTCGATTTTGGACGTTGCTCGAAGAAGATTTGCTTCCACGTGGAAGCTGGAGACACCACCAAGCCAGCCGAAGTGAAATCCTTACGATCGGAACCGCGCTATTTTAAAATGGCTCGAGCCGGGGGAAAAGGAACCGAACCACCGAACCTTGACTTCGCGTGAGGTCCGCGGACGAACGATGAAAGAAGCCACAAAACTGGTCTGGAGAGGCAAAAGATATACCATCCATCATCCATGACAGTCCAGACCAGACAACGCGTTGAAAGCTAACTAGATCTACATGTAGTGCTCAATTTTAAAAGATCCGTTTACACATCAAGAAAGATGGATCTCAGATGCCCCCTCGAGTTTCCATCCGACCACACGATGAACCGCCACCATGGCGTATGCCAGTGCTAAAGATCGGCCAACATCACGGAATCTCCCTTCAGATTGCTTTCGAAACCTTGTACATTATATTCGCCCATGTCTACGGCTTCCGCTTGCCTGCTCCCTATAACTATCTATTCTTCTTCTTTCACACGGTGATCAAGTTTCCAGAGGTGATTTATGTGGATGCCATGACCAGCAACTGGTTTGGGCGCAATGTGGAAAATTTGAGAAAGGCCGGATTTTCGGACCTCCAGATCCTCCTGATTATGAATTCCAACTGTATCAATTCGCAGCTATTGGGGTTTTTAATGATGAACTATGTGTGTACAGATCCAGAAATCTTCTCCCTGTCCTACTTTTATGCACACTTCAACGCAACCATGATACTACGAATTCTGGCCAGTTTGGCACTGTCGGAAACTCTGTTTTGTGCAGCTCATTCTCTCATGCACAAGAATGAATTTCTTGCCAAATATCATGTGATGCATCACTGCTGTGTTTGTCCCACCTGGACCACCAACCTAGTTTTCCATCCCCTGGATTTATCCATGGAATTTGGAGGACCCGCTCTGGGGCTCTTGGGACTTCACTTTGGGGTGTTTCAAGATCAGGCAACATTCCTCTTGACCTACCTCATTTTTCAACTCTGGTATGCCTACGACCATGAGCCGTACTTGAACTTGTATCACATCCAACATCACCAGCAGTGCGATTCGCTCTACGTCATTTACACCAACTTTCGCGGGGACCCGAAACACAATCGATCGCGAGGTGTGATGCAAGACATGGGATTACAATGGCCATCGTTGCACTCCAAAAAGTCGACATAAGCTAGCAAGTACTAACCTATGAAATGCATGATGACTCTATAAGTCAGTTAGCGTCGGCATTGCATCAATTGAAACTTCACTTCTACTCGGGCATTAAACGGCGTGCCCTTCGGCACTGCGGACTCATCCATTCATCTTGATATTGCATTACTTCCTATATGGTCCCAGTTTTGCTCCTATCCAGTCAGAACCAGATACATTGTGTCAACATTGGTGCTGACGCTCACGACCAGCTGTTTCCTTCCCGCCTCGCTGCCCCCAAATCAAAATGTTGTGTCCAGAGATCATTCCAGCTTTTGGATGACATTTATTTCAACTTTTTGGATTGTTGGGTACTGTATCCTCCACTTTTACAGTTCACTCGACTCCATGGAAGCCATACTGCTGGCCACCTGCTCCCCTGCCGCTTCTAGCAAGATTCCACTGGGTGCCCATTCCTCATGTTGCTTATCTTGTCCAATTTCCCAAAAGAATATGCCAGCATGTCCATCCTTCACCGCCATGTCTACCTTTCTCCGAACATCATTTGGACCGTCGTAGAGGTATCCCTTGAATTCGGATCGTTGTGCCACAGACTTCAAGTCAGCGTCAGGGTTGGTTTTGAGAATGGCATCCACGATTTCGGAATAGGTTTTGACTTGCCCCGGATTGCGTCCGTGTCGGGCATACGCTGGAATTCCCAGCACAATTTTGTCGGCGGGGCATTTGTATTTGAGCAAGTGCATGACGGAAGCGGTGATACCCTTCATTTCGGCATGATGACCACCTCTGCCATCGACCATGTCGTATGTCATTAGATTGATGCGTGTAATGTGACTGTAAAAGTTGTGGTTTTCAAAGACGTGATACGGATGCAGCGCCACGCTGACCTGTAACCCAGACTTGTGAATGATTTCCTTGTACAGGTCTCGTGCTAGATGGACAAAGTTTTGGTCGTCATCACTTCCTAGTGGTGTCTCCCAATCAATATCCACGCCATCGAATTGTTCCTTTAGCCTAAAACATAGGGGCGGTAAGTTGTTGGTTAGAGAAAGGACAGGAATGAAGGAATGCATCAACAAAGAACTGGTAGACGTAAGTATACATACAATTTTTCCTTGATATTCCGAACGAACTTTTCCCTGAGAGCCTGATCCGCCACAATCTTTGGAAATGAGGCACTGCGACCAGCGCCACCAATGGACATCCACAGCTTTAATGGTTTTGCATCTGACAATAGTAATATCATACAAGTCAAAGAAACAAGTCAAAGCGTCAGTCCTTGAGCTTCCAGATACAATAAAATTGTGCAATTCTGTGACATAATATTCAGAAAAAATCAAGGAGAGCAACGCAATAACTCGACTCACCTGGAAACTGTTCTTGCTTGTACGCCCGAGCTTCTCTGGCTTGCGCAAAATGATGTGGCTCCAGACAACAAGGTCCCAGATTTCCTTGATCATCCGGTTGCAATGAGAATACGATCAGATCCGTCAAGACTGCCGCCGTATTGTTGACATTGATGTACGATCTGTATTCCGGGAGATATCCTGCCACTACAAAGTCGTCGTTGGCCAGCGCCACTTGACCATTGAGCAGCAGGAGCAGTGCCAGGGAGCAGGCTATTGGGAACTGGAGGCGGCGATAAGGGAACATCATCATCATGGTCCAGTTTAGTGGGAGCAACTCAAGTAGAAGTGAGGGGCTTGGGCTTGCAGGAATCCAGTTGTGCAAAGAAACCCAAAAGAAAGATCCAAAAGATCTGCACTGCAAAAGCCCTAACCTTAGGTTACGGAACATGGCGAGGCGAGGTCGTTGCGTTTCCGCGTTTCCTTGTCCTCCGTCATTTTCCAAAAGACCAAGCTACTGGAAGAGCCGATGGGACAAAGGAAGGAACCTTTGTCTAAGCTGAGCAAACGATACTCTTAGACAACCATACCAGATAGCGACAATACTACAAGCTAGCTAGATGATCCGCAATTGGAAGTTGGCGGCCTCCCTCTTGACGATATGTGTCTTGGCCGTGGTCTATGAGATTGCCAAGTTGCGTGGGGAAAAAGCCGTTCTGGAAGCCAAGGTGACTCTGCTCAAGGAAGAGCTCGAACACAACAACAATGGAGCCACCACAACCACAACATCTACCAGTACCAGTGCAATAGATACATCTACCAAGACCAAGAAAGCCAACCAACAAGTCAACCAAGACAAGAGAGACGAAACGAAAACAGAAAAGAAGGACACTGGTCCATTTCGGGACAAGCTGTTCGAGGCCATTGAGTTTTGCACTGGCAACAACTACGTGGCTCCATGGGCCTACAAGACGCACATTGACCGTCTCGTCCCATCTGAAGAATCCGCCAGAAACTTTTCCCTACAACGGCAACATTTTGAACCAAATAATAACAAGCAACCCGAGTGCACTACCGTCACCGACTTGTTACAAGCCGTTCGAAATGGAAGACGCCAATGGAACGAGCCACATCTCAACACGGACGTTACTGAACTCGTCAATCCGCAGTATTGGGAGGAACAAGAAGTGACACCCTCCCGGTTCTTCCCCGATCAATGCGATATTCCACTCTTGTCACCCGATCAAATGTGTGACGTGCTCGGCCAATTCTCCCACATTTTGTTTCTCGGCGATTCCCTCGAGCGACACATGTACATGGCATTGGTCTCGGCCGTCAAGAACGACTTGATTCGAGGATTTGTACAAGACTCGGATCAAGCGCTCATGAGAGAAAAATGCTACTGTGATGGACAGTTTAGTGAACACGAACATTGTCGCTTGTACACTCCCGAAATGATGTCGTTTCATGCACCCGACAAGGGATTTTGTTCGCAACAAACAACATCGGCCATGGTCCGGTGGGCCAATTATGCCCACAAAGATGGACCGGCCGAGTATCGAACCATTTTCTCCGGCATTGATTGCTCCCAACCCGATAACCAAGGATTGCTCCTCATTCTACAGGGGGGACTCCATTTTGAAGTCAATGCCCGCAACGTATTCACACATTTCCGGGATCACATGTGGCCACATCCTCATCTCGTACGGTGTGCCGCACACAATAAGCTCTATGTCATTTGGCTGGGAATGAGTGCGCAATCCCCACGCTTGTACGATCAATATCCCCAACAACGCGCCGAATCGGCCATTCAATTTGACAAGGACATGGAACCCATCTGGGAACAACAACAATGGTACAATGTCACCACCATTCATTGGATGAACTTTACCAAACGGGCTCAAACATCCGATGGAGTCCATTACTTGACAGAAACAAACTACTTTCGGGCACAGTATTTGCTCCAATTGGCGCAATTGATGAAACAGGAACAAATCACGTTTCATGTGGGGAACTGATCCATTCCACGACTTGACTCCACTGTCCATTGCTGCTGCTGCTTGGCATACTTTCTGCATGGCATCACCTTGTGAGGAACACGCCATTTCTTTGCCCTCGGTGTCAATCCATCCATCCATGGAAGAAAACGGATGGCCAACACAACAACATGCATTTGAAAGTGAAACCTGCATTCGGTTGCATTGGTGCAGAAACGTCATGGCGCTTCCTGTTGCTGGCATCACACCAGGCATGAGACTGTCCCAAGCCAGTTGGTTGGCGGATGCTGAGACAATGCAACAGGGAACACGTTTGGAAATACAACAATCGGCTACTGCTTCTGCAGCGTGTGGTTGGGTTCCTTCTGCAGACAAGCCAGGCATGCGTTGATACGTCTGTCAAAGTGGTTATCCACAATGCTTGCGTCGGGCATTTGAGCCGCTCAAATGGAATAAATTGGGTCTCCTGCGGTAGTTCGCAATGGGAGAGGCTGGAACTATCTCATCACTCATCACCTTCGTTCCATGACACAGCAGTATATTGACCTCATCCATTCCACTTCCAAGAGGATCGTTTAGTCACATAGCTTGTTCCCAACTTTAATAGCTGAAGAAGCTGTAGCTCAATAAAAAGTGAGCAGGGTGATCCTCCTTGCCACAGTCGTACCTCTTGGCTGCGAAAACTCAATTGGGTCGTAAACTCGGAAGCTTACCGTACACACCAAGGCTTGACTAACGATGACACCCAAGCCACAGACGAATATCTTGAACTGTGAATACTATCATTGCCATGATGTTTGCTAAAGTCGTACGTCTTATCCGAAATTATTTTGACCTTTTCATTGTGACATTACAGCCAGCAAGGCTGCTTAATAATCGTGCGACTGAAGCAAGAGCCCTCCCATGGCCATGCAACAAACGAACAAACGTCACAAGGGCCAACACAACAACAACAAGTACTGTACGACCCTCTTGCAACAATGATGAAGAGCACAAAAGAAACATAAGAGGAATCTGCACAGAATATCGACATATTGGTAGACAGATCAAATGCAAGGCATGTGCCGGAAGCAGTACGCGAGTAGCGATACCAATCGCAGTGATATTCTCATCCGTCACTATCGCAGCCAGGATGAACAGCGGGTAAAGGAAATCTTTTCCGCGGGTATGTTGTCACTTGTGCCTGATGCATTTCTAATGATCTGCACAAAGCCTGTCAATGTGGGGGTCATGGCGACTGTGGGTTTCATTGTCGCCTGGCTATCAAAGAGTGTCTTTGCCACTGCTATGACGGAAGGTGTCATGATGGGTCTCCTCTACATGTTTCTGAGAACTGCATTTGGAGGCTATGTGTCCTCCAGCATTCAGGACGACCTGAGTAATATTCCAAAATTCTATGTGGAGAATGGAGGATGCTTCTTGGTGGCAACCGATTCTTCCAGTGGAAAAATTGCTGGAATGGTTGGAGCCGAACCAAAAGGTGACAATCAGTTTGAGCTGCGTCGCATGAGTGTAGATCAGGAGTGTCAAGGCCGAGGTGTAGGGAGGCAATTGCTGCGGAGACTCTATCAGGAATGCAAAGGAGCCAAAATTTTGCTGACGACGTCCAATATTCAACATACAGCACAAAGGCTGTACCGTAATAATGGCTTCGTTGTGAAGAGCAAGTTCCCCATTTTCAAGGAGGGATGGCAAGCCTACCTTATCAGTATTGAGATTAACTCGTTTGAAATTCAGCTATAAACTTTCCTTAGATGCCTCACATGGAATAGATCACACACAGCATACTAGTAGGTGGGAGCCTTACTTGCAAGTTTCGTGAACACCGGGGTGGTGCAAGACGGTTGAATGGGGTGCGGGAAACTCATAGCTTCTACGAGATCGCACGGTACCGGTTGCTCAGCTGTTGCTCTGGGATCCTTGAATCTATAGACACCTCTCTAAGTCCCAACTGCATGGAAGACAAGGCTCGCCCTGACATCGTACCGCCGCTTCAAACCAACTTAGTCTGGTGTGAAACAATGAGACATTGGATTCATGGCTGTTTGCGGGAACATTCAACAACCTCTGATGCAGCAAGCCACTACTGCTATGGTGTCCAATATGAGGCCCAGACAAGCAAGTTGACGGAAACACATCATTAATGACAAAGAAAGTTGGATAGTAGTTTAGAGTGCAATAGATTATTCTTGAGTTGCAAGAGATGATGTTTTAGTCAGTGACATCATACACGTGTACTGCCGAATGAATCAACGCCAATATGCCCTATCAAGGTAGATGGTATATTATAAGCAGCCGAGGATGTTTCAATTGCTACCTGCAGCCCCATAGATGAAAAATCCTGCGCAATGAAGACTACGGAATCGACAAGGCCGATGGTAACATGGCTCGCACTTTCTCCTTGGGTGGCTCCGTTAGCAGAGTTCTATTGACGCGTTTGAAAGCAACGATCGATGTGCTAGCTAGTATTCATCCCTGGCTACTACATGTATGTACCATATCGTACTAGCTAGCTAGTAGAGTAGTATGCATATTTCCTTCTCATTTTGAACCCACAGCCACGGCAGTACGGCAGTCGCTGTGGTGACATTACAGCCAGCAAGGCTGCTTAAAAATTTATAAGACATGTACCAGTGCCTGGATTGCATCCACCATACCTGGTACCACGACCGGTACCGCTACCGCGACCAGTACCGTACGCTGTAGCAACAAACGTAGGCGAGAAAGGGGTGGACGGCAGTGATCTGATTGGCTGAGAGGACCGAAGAACAATGTATATGTCAGCGATATATAAGGAACAAGATTTAAATCAATTAACGTACCATTTATAGTTATTACGGATACAGTGTGCTATAAAGTTCGAAATTCGTGTTTCTGTTTTCGCGAAAGAAGGATTCCGTTGAAGAAGATCGACAATGACACATTCTGCCGCTGCCGCTCACTTGCAATCAACTCGACAGTCATTATCTCAGCCAAAAGCAGCACTATCATGACCGGAACAGCAGCAACAGCAGCAGCAACAACAGCAGCAACAGCAGCTACCACTCACAATGGAGAAATGGGCTGCCAAAGTCAACAGAGGAACTCGCAACAGAAGAGAGCTTATGAACTCGCCAAATTGAACAACAACAGATCCAAGAGAGCCAGAGAAGAAGGACCGCAAAACAACACTGGGAGGAGTGGTAGCAGAAGTCTTTGATCCACTCAGACACTGTCAGTCTGTAGGGCCAGCATCTTGGTCAGAGTCCCTAAGAGATCACACTCTGTCTTCTGTATGAAGAATACAATAACAAAAGGACAAGACCTTTGAATGCGCTGACCATGGAGACAATCAAAGAAAGCAGAAGACTCACAAGGCAATTCAGTGCTCCTCTACCACTGAATGAGAGAGGAAGCTGGAGGCATTCCACAAGAGAAAATGGAGAAGCATTCTTTGCTGCTAGAACCAACACTGCCAAAGCCACATCCACAGCCAAAGGAATTCAACAAAAGTACAAGGCTACTCCAGCTGTGTTCTGCGAAAAAGTCACAGCTCTTGTAGAGGATGCCACCTTTGTGGAGAAACACAAGACCAAAATAGCACCACTGGCAATGATAGCAATGGCAGAAGCAGTGTCAGAATCCATTACCAGGTCAAAGAACCAGACCTATTCCAGCAACACTTTGATGGACTCACCATGACAGTCCCATCCACAAAGGAGCAATCGAGTCTCCTCACTACCACTCTATTGTTGGGCAGAAACTGCTTCTAGTGGACTGGAATCGATGTGGCATTACTGTACCTTGTCCCGATGGAAGATGCTCTGGCCAACTCAAGAATCATAGAACACAATGGTCTGGAGTAAGACTCTCTTTCCAATCTTTGGCATTGCTGGCCCTCCATCTTGGTGTATGGTCATGTCCATGGTCTGCAGCTGCTGCAAGAGAAGATTTGATGCCAACCAATCTGAAGTACTGGTGTCAATCCCAGAGCATGTTTCCTTGCTATATCCAGTAGAGCCAAAGTACGCTTTTCCCAAAACAGACTATCATTTGGAGAGGACTGCAACAGAAGTGTTTGACACTATAATGGTTACCTATGGAAATGGTGACTCTGCAGCGCCTCATCTACAATGCAATCAACAGAGAGTTCATTAGGGCCATGATGTCCTACTATTCTTACTGGCAAGGTAATGAGAGGGAACCCTCCTCCTTTCGTTCCAAGGAGGAACTTACATCAGAAATATCCTCCTCTTGGTGAAACCATCCGTGACTTCTATGATAGGCTGCTGCATCCAACAGACACCCATGGAGGATCAGTGACAATGCAGGCACACAAGGGAGATCCAAAGTGTAGCTGCAACAAGGGATCTTCTGTCAAGACCACACTTTCCAGCCAACAAAGAACTACATGAAAAAAGACACTGCAGGAGCTGTTGCCGTCTGGGATGCTGCCACGGAGACTGGAGAGATAGCTTCTGCAGTGCTGGTTCCCACAACCAAGACCATCCACTTCTCCCATGCTGCGATGCAGCTAGCAAGAAGACCCAACTTCAATCACTGCCGAGAGGATAATGGAGGAAAGATTCTTTTCAAGAGTACAATTGTTTGGATTCAAAACCTCACAGGCAGAAGAACTCACCAAATGATTGTTGCTTGTGTAAATTGTGCACCAGTCCAGTAGAAGCTTCACAACCACAACAGGTTCCAGGGCAACCTCACCACAAGCAAGTTCCCACAACCAAACCAGCAGAGACAAACCCGGTTCCAACAGCTTCCAGCCCTCCACGAGCACAATCCACGAACCTCCACAGGCAGCTCCTCCTGTAGCAAAAACAAGAAATTCTTACAATGGTAACAAAGTGCTGATATATATAGACAACACACCAAGTATTCAAAATTGGATGGCCAGGTACTTGGGCCTTAATGGCAGCAGCAAGATTCCAACCTAAGTACAGGCAGCATGCGTTGCGCGCGGCGCACGGTCCTCACACCAAATTGGCTTGCTTGTCAGAGATACTGGCGCCGCCAATCGGTTGACACACCAGTGAAGGAAAGTACCAATCAATGATCACTAGATTGCTCTAAATAGCAAGATTGTCGTGGGTATTACCGGTAGGCAACAATCAAGCATCGGATCGTGTTAGATCCAGCCAAATTCATCTTTCTAATATCTTAGCCGATGTAACTTTATAAACTATGAGATGCCAAGGTAGGTAGGATCCAGATATCGAGCACTAAATTGAGAACGTCAGTTCAAAACCATAGTCTCCTCATCTCAAGCGCCAATTATCACTTTGAAGGAATCTTGTTTGTTGTAAGTCAATAACCAGTGGCAACAAATAATGCCAAGCATTCCCATCACACTCTGTCTTCAGGGGAGGACACCTCAAATAGCTCTCACTGGATCCTGTTCCCTCACGCAACCAAGTAGATGCACATCGCAATGAACCATTTGTCCTTTGCCTCATCACAGCCATCCGTGTCGCGGAAGAGCAGCAGTTGTCGATGTGAAAAGGGTGGATAGAACAGCTCTGTACCATGGGCGACTCTTCTGAGGTCCCCAATAGTACATGTAATCAATGATGTTGGTCATGTCAGGAGGAACAGGCTTGCATCCTCCTTCCAAGATCATCGGTTCCTTTGTACAGGCAGCTGGTGAGCCGTCAGTATAATCGACTCGAATGTGGTCGCTGAGCGAGCACAGTGGTGCTTCTCCTTGTTGCTGAATCGGCGATCTGGTGCATACTGTCCTTCGAAAATCACATACTTGCAGGTGAAACCATGCCTGGTTTGCCTCGTGCTTTCGAGCTTTCTTCTCAGTGGTGCCATGGGGTAGGATGGGACGGTTTGAGCCAGATGCGCGACTTGTGCTCACTTTGAGAAGCCAGGTAGTAAGTATCGATCTTGAGTATCATTATATGCTATCGCTTTGACGAGCTGATTGTTCGGTGACTAGAGAGGGAGCATACTGCGCACTGCAGATCGCTCGAGTATAATATACCGTGATGCTAAATAGTTCGGTGAGGGATAAGCGTTCCGGTAGCATATGGCTTGGGAGAGCAGCACATGATCGGGATTGCCAAATAGTTGACCGCCTGGATATCACTGGAACAGCAGGGACGGTTTTCGACATGAGCCACTGTTATGCACTGGATGACGTAGGCCTCAAGGTCTAAGATTCTGTATACCGTGCGTACCTTCAGGGACTGTTGCGTGGTGATGTTGGTTTGCCGGCGTGATGGAGTAGTTCGGGACTGGATGTGTTAGGTGCGATAGGAAGGTGTCTTTGCCCCTAACCGCACAAGTAGTCGCTTACTTCAAGACAAAATAGTAACAGTTGTTGTTTTAGTAGTAGTTGTTGTTGTTTGCTGTTGTTGGTGTTTTGGTTGGTGGTGGGCAGCAGTAGTGGTAGTCGGTCGTCTGGTACGGGTGATAGTGGTGATCGGTCCGTCGGTCGTAGTGGTATCCGGTAGCACGGAAGGAGCGTCGGTAGTGGAAGGATAGAACGATTAGTAGCATGCAATGGTCGCCATTTAGTGGCTAAACAAACCACCACACAACAACAACAACAACAACAACCAACAAACAACAACAACACAACAACAACACCGACAACACTCACCAGCGATCAGCGATTTGAATTTGTGGGAAGGTATGGTGCGAGAGAAGGATTGGGAAAAAGTATCGGTTGATGGGATTTGAATTCTGTGGTTCAAGTGATTCAGCAACGATACACGTGTACTTCCTGACATATTTGTTGTTCTTCGGACGTCTTACCTATGGTTGGATATTTAAAGGAAGAGGGGCGGATGACCAGGTCATTGCCATTTCCCCTCTTTCCTCTAAGTACGAGTAGCCGTTTGGCGGGTTCGGAGTGCGTCGGACGGCTCATGTCTCGGAATCAGGAATCTCAACGGTTAACCCTCTCCCTTTCTTTTTCTTTTTCCCTCCCCCGCGCTGGTGCCGAACCCCCCCATAATCTCTACGTAGAAGGATTATGGGGGGGTTCGGCACCAGCGCGGGGGAGGGAAAAGAAAAGAAAGGGAGAGGGTTATCTGTTGAGTTCCAGATTCCGAATTGAGAGTGTGCAGGGCATGTTTGAGACATCCGAAAGACCTTTTTACTTAGCGGGTAAGGGGATATGGCAGTGACTGCAACGGTCTCCATTGTAAAGCTGACATTTCCCCCATGTGTAAGACGTCCGAAGAACAACAAATATGTCAGCAAATACGTCAGTGGTCAGTGGGATTGAAATCGTGACAGTTCAAATCATTTCAACGGATAAGTAGCTTGCTTGCTTGTTTGTTTGTTTCCCCAATCGCGTTCGCTCTGCATCAAGACCTTCCACAAATTTCAAATCCGCATGATCGCTGGTGAGTGTTTGTCGTGTGTTGTTTGGTGGTTGTTCGTCTCGTTGTTGTTGTTGTTGTTGTTGTTGTTGTTGTTGTTGTTGTTGTTGTTGGATCCAAGGCGCACAATGGCATGCTACTAATCCTTCTATCCTTCCACTACCGACGCTCCTTCCTCTACGATAACCACACCGATCCCGACGACCGATACCAA